ATGAAATCAATGGGAATTTGCTTTTGTTGACGCACTAGAATATGTAGTTTTCTTGACCTGTTTTGTTCTTGCAGCTCAACTTCGCTGAGTAGAGATCATTAAAAGAAGCCGAAGCAACCTTAGCAAGGACTTCTACCAAAAGCTCGTTTGGGATAAGATTGTATGGCTGACATGGGACTCTTCTTCATTGATCTTGTCTTATGATGCCTGCCAAGAACATTCTAATTATCCATTAGAACAAAGCTTTCATATGTTTGTAAAAAATTTAAATAATACATTAAATTGGGAAAACTCAAGAATATATTAAACTAAAAAAGAAAACCAAAAACAGGGGCAGAGAGAAACCACATATTATAGTGGAGGAAATAATTGGTTATGGAATACAAAATCTCGAGTCCGTCTTTCTTGGCCTTGCCCCCAAAACACACCAAGATGGCCCCGTAAAGATACCTAGTTTCTACATGACCCTTGGAGGATGTTTTCTTCAACCACCAAATTCCTTGTTGTGCCGTCTTACCCTTAAAAAGATCATGAAGCCCTTGTCTATACAAGGTGTTCGCATTGCAGCACTCTTTACATGGTCTCAAAAACTTATAGGCTTTGTCGTTTTTCTTCCAAGAAATCAATGGGAGTTTACTTATGTCGACGCACTAGAATATGTAGTATTTTTGAGCTGTTTTGATGAAGTCCTTACAGCTCAACTTTGTCAAGTAGAGATTGTTGAAACAAGGCGAAGCCACCTTAGCAAGCACTTCTACCAAAAGCTCCTACGATGTATTGTATGGCTGAGATGGTTCTCTTCCTTCATTCTCTTGTAATGCCTGATGACAAGAACATTCTAGTTATCCATTAGAACAAAAGTTCCATATGTTTGTAAAAAAGTTCAATAATACATTAAATTTGGCAAACTCAAGAATATGTTAAACTAAAAATAAAGCCAAAAACAAGGGCATAAAGAAATCACAAATAATTGGGGAGGAAATTAGTTATGGAATAAGCTTTACTGGACAGGTTGACGGCAAAGTTTTTTTCTATTTTTTATATCATAACAATCTTAAATAAGTAGCTATGGAAGAAACTTCCTTAGCAAGAGAAAACAAACAAACAAAACATAAGTTTAAAATAGGAAAAGCGTTATCTTATCCAAACAGTCATCCTTACTCCAAATTTTCAATTTGCATATGAATGATATGAACGGTATTTGTCACTGGACACTAGTACTGGCAAAAGGTTTAGATAATTGGGGCATGGCGGTCATAGCTAAATAATGAGGCGAATAGAGCATTATACATACATGTATCCTTAATATGTCTTTAAGCCATTCCCAATAATACTCAGTAACATAGTTTCACCAATAGTTAGAAGAACACAACCTCAACTCGTTGCCCCATCATGGATTCGGTCTCCTAGGAGCTCGAATACCTCTCTAACGAATTGTTCTCTTCATGATACGAGAGGACTTCAATAGTAAAACATTAGAATGGAGCCCTTTACAGGTAAACCTGGATCTTCGGAAGTTACTCAATTGAAGACACCTCCTAAAACTGTCATGATCAACAGGATCCCATCCTTGCTCGACGGTGGAAACCACTTATCTATTTCAAAAGTCTCTACATGTCTTTGGAACTACAGTCTCATGGCGGGCTTGTACAATTTTAGCCACCACCTTCGAGTGCGCACACATATTCCAAACAAATCCTTTAACCCTCTCCCTGCATTCTCTTACACTAAACCCTTTCGATTTGTAACGGTTGAGAGAATACAAAAGCTCGAGGCCTTACTGCTTGCCCTCGCCCCCAAAACACACAAAGATGGCCCCCTAAACATACCTGGTTTCTACATGACCCTTGGAGGATGTTTTTCTTACCATTGGATTCCTTTATTTACTCTTTTGCCTCTAAAAAGATCGTGAAGCCCTTGTCTGTACAAGGCGTCAACATTGTAGCACTCTTTGCAAGGTCTCAAAAACTTAGAGGCTTTGTCTTTTTTCCTCTAAGAAATCAATGGAATTTGCTTATGTCGATGCACTGGAATATGTAGTTATCTTGATATGTTTTGTTAAAGTCCTTGCAGCTCATGAACTTTGCCAAGTATAGATCGTCGAAAGAAGCAGAAGATACCTTAGAAAGCACTTCTACCAAAAGCTCATTCGGGATAGATTGTATGGCTTAGATGGGACTCTTCTTCATTGATCTTGTCTTGTGTTGCCTGAGGACAAGAACATTCTAGTTATCCATTAGAACAAAACTTCCATATGTTCGTAAACAAGTTTAATAATACATTAACTTTTGCAAACTCAAGAATATATTAAACTAAAAACGAAATAAGTTGTTATGAAATAAGCTTTCTTAGACAGATTGACGGCAAAGTCTTTTTACATGATAACAATCTTAAATAGGTAGCTATTTAATCAGCTTCCTTGGTGAGAGAAAACAAATAAAAGTTAATATCATAACAATCTTTAATATCCAAACAGTCATCCTTACTCCATATTTCCTTTTGACGTATGAATGGTATGAACGATGTTCGTGGCAAGACATCGGTACTTGCAAAAGGTTTGGATAATTGGGGCATACCGATCATAGCTAAATAATGAGGCGAATGCAGCATAATACATGCCTGAGTGTTTGTACTTAATATGTCTTCAATCCATTCCTAGTAACACTCGGTAAACGTAGTTTTGCCAACCGTTGGAAGAACACAACCCCAAGTCGGTGCCCCATCATGGATTCGGTCTCTAAGGAGCTCAAATGCCTCTAATAGCATCTACAATCATGCTTCCTATTTTTTAGTTAAAATTTAGTTTAAAACACACAAAAGCTATTTAAGGAGTTCTAGATAAAATTTGAATTCCAATCATACTCCCTAGATAAATTTTATAATTATTTTATAATTCAATATAATTGGTCCATCTCTATAAATAATTATATAAAAAAATAGTTAGCACTAATTAAAAGTTTAAAATATAGCCCTTCTCTCTCCTTAAATTTAGGAGCTCCTAAAGGTCTACCTATTTTAGAAGGTGGATAGGGAACATGAATAGAGTTGTATTTTTCTAATTCTTCCCTAAAATTGGTCTAAGGTAAGGGTGGACACGGTTTGGTTTGGGCCGATTTTTTCCTCAAATTGGAACCAAATCCAGTACTATTTACCCGGTTTGGTTCGGTCCAGTTTTAACAAAAAAATTTATATAACTATCTGATTCGGGTTGAATCAGTTCCAATTCGGTTGGCTTGAAAATTAACAAATTATCTAATTTCATATAAAAAGAAATATTGAGGCTAGAAAAGAGAGATGTTTTGAAATTGAACTTGGGTAAATATTAGTTATGAGATTAAAAATAGAGCATTGGATATAAATAAATATTAAAATTATATATATTTTTAATTTGGCAAGTTTGGTTTTCCCCAGCTCGGTTGGTTGGGGTATAGATTTAGAATGGGAACCAGTTAGAACTAGTTCGGTTTGGTTTTTTGAATTGGGTTTGACTTTTTGGTCAACACTATTTTTTTCAGTTTTTTCTAGTCCTGTTTGGTTCGGTTGATTGGTTCTTTGATTATGATGCCCACCTTTAGTCTAGGGAGGTGATTTAGGGAGGCCATTGTGGCTGCTCTAAGGAATTGGAATAGTAACAAATATTCAACATGGAATAGTAATCATAAATTAATATAACTATAAAAATTATGTATTCATGGTTAGGCTACATCGTAGCCCTAGCAAGGAAAATTAGACAAACGTAAAGATAAACAAGATAATTATTGTCATAAAACTGATTTGGCTGATGGACTTGATCTTTCGGAATCTCCACAACACCTTCGTAATCTCCAAAAGCACCGCAACAACAAATTCTTGGCTCTCTCTGTGATACATTTGTGGGTGTATTGAAAGATGGTAAAAAAGTATATGGTCTCTAGGTTAAAGTTGAATATTTATAGGACAAGGGGAATCCTCCAAAAATAAGGAAAGGCAATATCTAATTAGGAAGTAGAGGAATAATAGGAATATTGGGGAAGCCAAAACCCATTCGATAAAGGAAAAAAAGGTGTGGTTGTTGTGGGAACGTATATTTCACTGAATAATAAGAAGACAACACATGGAAAAGGAATATTCCTTAGGTCAAACTAATTACCCTAATTAAATTCAATTTAATTAGGGAAATTATCTTTGAATTAAGATAGGAATATCTCCCTAAATCAAGGAACCAATGTCCACCAAATCTCTTGGAGTAATTCCTATCATCTTTTTAGGGAAGAATAATCCTAACCAAAAAAGGATTATTCTCCCAAAACCCTAGCACACAAGGAGGCAATAAATACATAGCTATGTAAGACATTTGAGGTTATTCTTTTTGAATGCTTCCTCACTCGAAAAAACCCTCTCTCTCTCTCTCTCTCTCTTACATGGATAAGGCCACCAGGCTCTCCCTGTGAGAGAAAACTCCATCCATTTTAGCTATTGTCGTATATTTATCAAGATCCAATTGAACTAACTTAGGCATTGAAGGGCCTTTGGCCAACACCCCTCGGGTGTGGTCTATTTACTCATATTTATTTCACATGGATTGAGGAAGAAAGAGAAGGAAGATCGAAGGTCAAGGAATCAACCCAAGAATATTCCCTGTGCAGGATTTTGCTCAAACATTTTGGTGCTTTCATTGAGAGTGTGAGTTATACTTAACGATTGCTCTTGAATCAAGGAATCTTGTTTCCTATTTTTCATCGTTCAACTGAAGCGTTTCAAATAGCCATGGTTGGAAGCATGCGAATGAGAATCTGGGCCGCTGCAACATCCTTATCTGTGACGGACTCGGGTCACCATGGCAACATGGCTCTGAGGCAGCTACTGTGTGTTGTAGCTGAAGCCATGCCTTAGCCTCTCTGCACTACGGCTACTGCCATAGCCCCAGTTTCCATAACGGTTCCCCCTCTTGGTCTCGAGATTGAGAACGCCTATCTGATGCATGCTTCGCTCCTCCTCGCGGTCCTGTGACTGCCATGACTCTAAAGCCGCGTAGCTATGCGGCCGGATCTAGCAGCCGCCACCAACTCGACCTCACGTTCTAATTTGATGCTCTCCACCATGACGGTGTTGTTGCTCTCTATCCCAAGATTATCGCTCATGAGCATCTTGGCTCCTCCGCCAACTTGAGCTGCATTGTGGAACAACTTCATTCATTCTCTCCTTTGCCTCCGTGTTCGACGTATGCCCCTGTGTACACCTCTAGTTAAACCCTAGCTCGTGTGCAATTACACAATTCTCTTCTCCTGATTCATGAAGTCAAGTAGACCTTAGTCTTAAAGTTGACTAGCTGGCTGAAAGAGTGGAAGACCAAAAAACTTGGTTGGATAGCTCCTCAACCAGATTGACTTGGTCTGAGACCTTGGCCTTGGACCGCAAGAGAGAAGGATGGATGAAAGCACTTGCAGGCAGTTCGAGAGGTCCCATGTAGGATGAGCAGGAGCAAGCATACAAGGAGAAGGACAAGAGCGTGCTTAGCACGTTGGCATGTCACAAGCATCCACGAACCCTGCTCAAAGTAGATCGAGTCTTCAATTGAGATTAATTTCAAGGATTGAAGTGCATGAGAGGTTGGGCCCACAATCCGATGTTCACGCCCACCTCGAGCCGTAGGGAAGCATTCAAGCGAGACTAGGCCCCCAAGGAGATCAGCCTCACGATCATCCCCATAAAGTACGAGAAGAAAGACGCTCACATGTTCGGTCTGGAAAAGCCAACTCACAAAAACAAGCTACAGAAGGTTCCTCACAAGCTCAGTCCACCAACACACCGCACAGGCACTATAGTAGAGGATATCTACTCCGAAGAGAAAACGAGTTGGTAAACTAGCGATGCATATATCATGGGAGACATCAATGTGAACAGCAAGCCAAGCAGGCAGAAGATGTCGAGAAGCTCGTGAATGATCGACTTCAAGACCTGAAGATTGGAGCAGATTTTGCAGATGCACTACGTAAGAGGTGGACCAAGTGAACTCCTCACAGTTCATCATCGAGATTAAGCAGGCGACTCCATCGAAGTGATTCTCAAAGCCTTCTTTCACACACTTCAAAAGTGTTATGTTTCTATATAAGGCTGAGGATACACTGATGTACAAGGTGTTCATAATGACCTTAAGAGGAGTAGCCCATGATTAATTATATACCCTGCCATCCAGGTCAATTAGCAGCTTTCGTCTTCACGAAGGAGTATACTTCCTACCGGACAATCAAGAAACAAGCCAACCACTTGTTCAACCTACACAAGAAATATGATGAGTCCCTCTGAGACTACTTCAAAATGTTCAAGGCGGAGAAAGCTAACATTGCGGGATTTGATGACGAATCACATCCTTTGCCTTCATAAAGGGTCTACTAGCTGAGCACGACATGCTCTGGGACGACAATTGAATTGTCGAAAAGAATTTTGCAAAGTAAGCCGACAAATCACTCAATGAGGTAGGTCAGAGAGGTGATAAGCCCAACGGTAGGAACTTTGGAGGAAAGCACAAGGCACCATCCCAAGGTAGCGCACCACCAAATGAAGGCTATACGAAGTTCACTATCCTGATACATCAAATATTGGCTCAAGTGAAAGACAAAACCTGGCTGAGGAGGGAGATCTTGATAAGAGAAATACCTAAAAGTACTGCACCTTCCATGGAACACATGTGCATGACAACTAACTGCCAATCTTGGAAGATGCACCTCGAAGAGCTAGTAAGAGAAGGCCACTGCACGGAGTTTGTGGTGAAGAAGGCCATCCAGAAAATTAAGGATAGCGATGTCGCTAAGGAGCCCTCATAGAAGGTCATAATGATTAACACGATCCTGGCTGACTTCGAGGAATTTGGGCTGACTAGCAAGGAAAGGAAGAGGAAGGTTAAACACGTCATTGTTATCTCCCAAGTTGTCCAGCAATTGAAGACGATCCCGTGATCGGCTTCCAGAAAAAAGATTTGATTGGGCTTGATCTGCCGCAAAATGATGCCCTCGTCATAAGCATCTAAATCGCGCAAGCCATGATTGAGCGAGAAGTGAAAAGTGTAGAACAAGCAGGGGAGGAAGCAGATCCCATTCTTGACAGTCGAACAGACCAGAAGTGAAAAGGAATAGTCATTCCCCAATAGAAATTAAAGAATCATGACTAAGATAAAGGAATCCGTCTGAAGGTCCCATTTGAAGAAGGATAGAAGCCTAAGGAAGATGTCGAGCTAATACCCCTTGATCTTGATAAGCTAGAAAAGCCCAAAAGAGAGGGTAGACCTTACAGCCTTCCTCCAGAACAACAAATATGTGTTCGCATGGTCACCATCTGACATGCCAGGCATCGATCTGAAGATCATATGCCATTGCCTTCATGTCGACGTAGCCAACAGACAAGTGGCGCAGAAGAGACGTAACTTTGCTCCCGAGTGAGTTGCCATCATTGAAGCCGAGATTGAGAAGCTCTTAGCTGCCGACTTCATTGAAGAAGTCTCCTACTCATAGTGGCTGGCAAATGTTGTTCTAGTTGCAAAGAAAGACCAAAGTAAGTGGAGAGTGTGCGTGGACTACACTGACCTTAACAAGGTGTGCCCGAAAGGCAAGTTTCCCCTGCCAAGAATTGATCAGCTCATAAACTAACAAGACCCGCCCCGAATTTCCTCGGAATCCGGGACGGACCCCGCCTAATTACCGACATCAACCTAATGCCGGGCCCACTTAGTAAAGACTGAGACTTTCTACCAAAAATTTGGCAGAGTCTCCCCTGTAAATTGAACATTCCCAAACTTCAACCTGTTCAAAATTTACAGTTAATTACAACCAACTGGCAGCATGCTTTACAAGCAACAAAACATTTTACAACAAAAGCCTCTGGCCTCACAAAATTAAACCCTCAGTGGGCGATACAGAGCATAACTAAGGAATTCCAAATACAACCGAAGTACCGTTTAACTGAAAGGAAAAACAAAGCACCAAGAGTCTTTACGAAGACTCGAGTTCCAAGATGCACCCGGTCCGGCTCAACTGCAAAGCTCAGTCGCTACTGGCTGGGGGCGTAAAATATAAAGTTGTGAGTGGACAAAAATCAAGTTCAGTTCAAAAGAAATCAAAGTAGTATAACCCCCACCTTTATAAAAAAAACATACATTGAAACCATAAGCATAACAACCATCAGAAAAAGGTATATAAACATACACGAACATATATATACCGGATCTCAAATCCGTAATCCGTGAATAATGCTTCACGAAACCCACCACTCAACTTAAGAGTCCCGAGAGATTAGACTCTCGTAAACGTACTCAAAAGTACGACCGGCGAGGAAGTATCCTTACCGAAAAATAGAACGAAGGAAAATAAATATATATCATATACATACATACATAATAATAATAATATGAGATAACATAATCATAATAATAATAATAATAATAATAATAATAATAATAATAATAATAATAATAATAGTATATAAAGATAACCAATATTTAATTGTACTGGGAAAACAATCCAACCGGGGGACTGTTTGACTAGGCCACATGGCAGAGCCATTCCTCAATTCACCATGTGTCTAGGGAGCGAGCCGTCCAACCGGGGGACTAACTCTCAGCCAGCACATACAGCCGACACAGTCAAAGCTTGTACGCCTGAAATACCAGTCCTACGCGCGCAGACTACCCCAAATCCAGGGTCCACAGCAACATCCCCTCAAGGATGCCCTGAGTTCTCATCGTAACCAAATTCAGATCAGGGGAGGTACATAAATTAGTGCTTAACGCACTCCAAATAATAGATCCAACATTACCTTTCCATAGTTCATATTAACCACCAAGTACCCCATGCATAGCCGCATGTAAATATAGCTTCTCAAAATTCAAATATCAATGTAAGTTTTATGAAAACCTCGAATTCCCATTCAAGCATATAAAAATAATTACTAGACATAATAAAACGATATGCCATATTTCTATGAATAAAATCATACTGAGTTTCAAAAGAAAAGTCCACTCACAAGTAGTCCCACACAGCTTGACCCTTAGAGGGTCCCGCCTGCTGCGTATGCTGGGTCGGAGTACCTGATTCAGAATACGAAAATGCGATGAATATCAAGCACTTCAAAACAGAACTTTGAAATAAAACCCTAGCTTCCCGGGAGTTCCTATAGGTTTTACGAGGTCTAGGATACACGTCCTGTAAGTTTGGTCCGAAACGGACGGTTAGACCGCTCACGATCGCACAATTGGACGGTTACTGAAACCCTCACCCTAGGGTTGGCATTTCCGGAGTATCCGGGACTCCGTTTTATGATCCGTAGAATCCTACACGATCTTACGGTTATCCAAAGGAACATACTTTAATTGGAAAATGATCCAACGGTCAGAACATATCGAACCCGAATAACGCACAATATGCGATAATTCGTTCGATAGTCAAACGACCTCGGAATCGAGATCCGCGAAATCCTATGCGCCGCCACACGCGCCAGCAGCAAGCGAGTGTGCAGAGAAATTCCGGCGACGGAAAATCTCCAAATCACAAGTCACCCTCCCAGCTACAGGTCCTACTCAACTAGGGGAGCACTTCATTCAACTACGGCGAAGCCCAAAACCACCGCGAACTGGCCGGAATTTCGAATTGAAAACCGGTCAAAACCCTACTTCGAAAATCACTTCCAAAACCTCAAAATCGTTTCAATCCTAAGCAACAGGCAGCTACAATCGAAAAAAAGAAGGAGAAAACTCACCTTTCACACCGGAAAAGAATGACTGAAGCGGTGGTGCAACGATCGGAAAACCTCCGATTCGAACCAGTCGCAACGGTCGGCGGTTCTCGAACTTTACGGTCGGGATTTTGGGTGGGTCAGGTCCGGGACTTCACTACGAGTCGAACGGAACCGATCTCGGGGGCTGGGGTGGCCGGAGGTGATGGAGGCGTGGAGAATTCTGTTCGGGTGAACAGTGACGAGAGAGAGAGTTCGCGGGAGAGAGAGAACGCACGGGAGAGAGAGAGGAAAGTGAACTGAAAATGGAAAAATCTGATTGATTTTTTTTTACAAATACCTTTTCGACTTATTTACGATTTTGCCACCGGAAGAAATTGCATCGCCAACACTGCGTTATAACTCCGATTCAAGCCTACCGCATGTCTACGAATTCATCTCAGAACCATTTACACAACTAAACCACTTCTGGTCCCAAAATCCTTCCAGACAAGAAAATGACCAAAATACCCTACCCCAAGGGTAGTTTCGTAATTTCACAGTTAATTTAATTTTAACCTGTTAAATAGAGTCGAGGTGTTACATAAACTTTCGGCAACCAACTGCTAAGTTTCATGGCCACAATCAAATCATTATGCATGAGGATGATATTGCTACAAAGTCATGCCCTTTGCGCTAAATAACGCCACAGCAACGTATCAGAGGTAGGTGAACAAGATTTTCAAAGAGTAGATCGGCAAGACTATGGAGGTCTACGTAGATGACAAGCTAGTCAAAGCTCCCCAACGAGCAGATCACATCAAGAATCTTGATGAAGCAGTCAGCTTGCTCCGAAGGTACCACATGAAGTTGAACCTGAGCAAATGCACATTTGGAGACTCATCCCATTCATGCAATGGGCCATTGACTTAGTGGGGCTTATGCCGCAAGCACCTACCAAGAAAGACATGATGATCATCGCCACAAACTTATCGAGGCCGAAGCTCTATCCTTTACTAAAGAAACCAATGTAGAGTGATTTGTCTTGAAGAACATTATCTGGAGGTATGGCTGCCCACAATCGTTGGTCACTGACAATGGGTCGCAGTTCATTGGTAGGCAGATCACAACATGGCATCAAGCAACACATGTCAACTCCTAGATATCTGCAAGGCAATGGCCAAGTAGAAACATCTAACAAGATCGTGCTGCATTGTCGGAAGAAGAGATTGGAAGGCGTCGAAGAAAAATGGGTTGATGAGCTGCCTGGAGTCCTATAGGCTTATGGTACCACCCAAAGAAGATCAATTGGGGAAACCTCATTTTCTCTCACCCATGAAACTGAAGCAATCATTCTCTCTTATATCATTATTCCATCCATGAGCATCGATGTGGTCAACCTCGACTTGCTCGAGGAAGAAAGAGAAAAGGTCATTGTTCGAGTTGCAGACAATTTCAAACTGAGGACGTTGTGCTTAGAAAAGCCTTAATTGAAACACAAAGGCAAGGATCAAAGGTCCTTACATTATCAACTGATCTGGGGGCAGAGAAAGCTATACGCTAGATACCATGGATGACAAGGAAGTTCCAAGATAGTGGAATGTCCATCACCTCCAAAGGTATTACCCATAAAGCTCCCGCTCACTTGCTTGGACTACTAGCAGGCGACTGAGCCCTATCCACCGCAATGAAGAAGAACAACATTTGATGTAATTTCATTTATTTATTTCCATTTAATAAAGCAATGTAATCACACAACCAAGTGTTCAAGAAAAGATCCAAAGAGTCTTAAGGGAGACGCAAGAAGACGGTCAAAATGTCCTAAGGGAGACGTAGGACAACCTATGAAAACATCCTAAGGGAGATGTAGGAAAACCGCCAAAACTTCCTAAGGTAGACGTTGGCCATCTACCAAAACATCCAAAAGGAGACGTAGGCCGTCTGCCAAAACATCCTAAGGGAGACGTAGGCAACAGCTAAAATGTTCTAAGGGGGATATAGGCCATCTGCCAAAGCTTCCTAAGGGAGATGTAGGGAACTGCCAAAGCGTCCTAAGAGAGAAACAGGTTACATCTGAAGCATCCTATGGCAGAAGCAGAAGAGCAACCTTTAACTAAGCGGTGGGTAAACATTCAAGCATCCTAAGGAAGATGCACAACCAAGGCACCAACAAGTCACTCAAGCAGTTCACAAGACTCAACAAAAATTTTGGTTTAAATAACTAAAATTTCCATAGCAAAGTGACCAACTGGCCAGAGTTCAACAAAGAACAATGGTCAAACAAGACCAATTATTGCAAACAAAAAAGCAGATTGCAAAGCTTGAAAGATAAAAGAGTCTACATGCTCACCAGATGCTGCCATCTGCTCAATAACTCCAACTGCCTAGTCAGCCAAATCTGTCTCCACCTCGTCAGTTGCGCCCTTCTTTGCATCATCCTTCTCAACTGCAGTCTTGTCAACCACCTGCTTTTTGGCTACCTCTATATCCATAACATTGATCTGCACACCTTGAGTACGAGGCATATCAGGACAGAACATCTCAACATCTTCATCTTCAATAGAATGACAAGGAGCAGCTTCACTCTTGTAGACCAAGTAGTCTAGCTTGTATGCATCGATGACAGCCTCTAACTTGGATCGTTCAACAACATTGTGGTAGACGTCAAACTTGGCCAGAAGTTTGTCGTAACTTTAGGGTATGTCCGCATTCTTGTGCTCTAGATGGAAGTAGACAGGCTTGACAAAAAGTTCGTCTTAAGCAAATTAGACTTGCGACTATCTTTTTGAGCAAGGGAACTCTTCAGCACAGACATGCTCTCCTTCATTTCAGACATCTTCGTTTCATGACGGATCTGCTCGGTTGAGAGCTTGCCGGTCAGATCAACATTCTTCTTCTCCAACTCACTGAGCTGAGTAAAAGATGGGGCAATATTAGACGAGTTTCGGATGGCCTTAATAGCAAAAACTACTCTTTTTTGAAGCAAAGTGATTGTCGTTTCCTCTTTCTTCTTCAAGGAAAAACTTGAGAACATGCCATGATCACTAGCCTGATGTATATGATCAATCTGCTTGACGCAAGCAGACATGCTTGATAGAAAGTTCGTCTTGAGTAGATCAGACACACATGTGTCCCCTGTGAAGTTTTTGATGAGCCCTTCACTGAGTAGATGACTTTCTAACCTTTTTAGCTACCACCTCACCTTCAGAGGAGTCAATGACGCTAAATTAGCTCCATGTTTGACTGCTTGTTGCTTGCCAGATGAATTGCGATGGTTAAGTGGAGGAGTAGTCCTCCCAATTCGATCTTCATCCCTTGATTGGTGTAGATGACTTTAACTTCGAGAAGGAATGTCAGTAGATCTTTGTTTCTTGACAGGCGACCCAGTTCGGGAACAGAGTTCTTTGTAGGGTAGATTGCAATCTTTGAGCTGGTCAGTGGGAGACTTGAGCAGAATGTCTCGAACATTCCACATGCCTCCAATATTTTTGCTATCTGCGTCGACAAGATGCTTGACCCTGAAAGACGAAGGAGAAGCCCGCACTTGAGTCTTCTTAGCAAATGAGACCTCTTTCAAAGAAGACTTGATCATAGCAGAAGGAAGTCTCGGCTTTTTCCTCAGTTGAGACACATCCTTTGCCCGTACATTTGTAGCTTCATCTTTGGAGGACCTGGCATCAACCTTCCTTTTTTCAAGGAGTTCGGGAGAAGACTCCTCCTGTTCTCAACATCCTTGGCAGGAGGCAGACACTAACTTTCTTCCAATACTTGCTCAACAGCTAGCGCCATTCGCAAAACCTCGCAAGGATGTTCAGGGCCTAGCGGACCTTACCTATGTCCAGCTAGAGATCCAGTTTCTTACTGATAAAAGTCAAAAGTCAGTTTCTTACTTATGCAATACAAAAGTCAGTTAGTTACACATTAAAGAATTCAAACAAAATTCAAGTAGATCAATAGAAGTATGCATATCATCGTAGTAAGTGAGGGGAACAAGTGGACTATCATTGACCTCGCCTTCCCATAATCCGTTGAACTCCAACACGTCGGCATATCGTACATGAGGTTCTTGTCTAAGACTGTGAAATAGCTTGGTGTTGTATACACAAACCTAGGCATACTTCTCATAGCGTTTCACTTCGAAGAAGTAAAAGAACTCCTGCACCGCCAGATTTAGCTTGAAGAAACAACTCAGATTGTCAAAACACATGATCGCCCGGCAGACGTTCAGAGTACATTGGCTTGGGGCACACTCCATGGCGCAAAACACCTTCCTAAAGAACTTTGACAACCGTATGTAAAGCCCAAGGAGAAGTAGAAGGGACGAAATGTGATAATTCTGGAATTTGGATCGTTTTAATCTACACAAAGTGCATCGTCAGTTGAAGACGCTGTCAGCTTGACATGCACGTCATTAGCTATGGAGTAGCATAGGTGGCATGCCACTTCTACAAGTAGAGTTCAGACGTAACGCGATGCAGATTAGCCACAAATCTCTTTTTGTTGACTAGCTGCAAAAGAGAAGTAATTCACAAGTCAGATTATGGGTCAAAAATCACAATTCAAGCCTTAAGAAGGAAGACCCTAACTTGCTTGGCAAGAAAAAAAAATAGCTAGAAGACCACACAGCCCGAGCCTCTGACACAGCACCACGGCGCAGCTTTAGCAAAAAATAAAAAAAATAAAAAATAAAAAAATAAAAACAGTCGCGCCCACCGCCAACAATAGCTGGTACCTACCCCTGCAACTGCCGCCAACGCTCACGGCAAGCCTTGCCTGCCTAACTGCCGAATCGCAGCCAAAGCCGTAGTCCAACAACTAGGCCCGCGACGAAGAGGAAGAAGTCGCTACCACAGTTGCCACCACCAGCAATGATAGCAGCTGTAGTTGTGGTGCCATCATCCGGCTGATCCTGCCGCTCTAGCCATTACATCACGACGATAACCAGGCAGGCCCACTCAGCTGGTCCTCGCCATGAGGGAAGAAAAATAAAAGGAAATTCACCACTGGCAACCACCGTGATGCCACTACCGTTGGCAGGAGCGTTGGTAACGATGACAACCAACTAGGCCTACCTAGCTGGTCCTCATCGTGAAGAAAAAGAAGAAGAAGAAGAAAAAAAAACAAGTTTGACCTACCATGGTGTGCAGGGCGACTCCTCTCCTCGACAAGCAATACACTCATTCAAGATCTCTCTCATAAGTTAGAAAGTAGAGGATAACAAGTTTGAAATTTGAAGAGGAGTGAAGAGAAGCTTTGTATTTATAAAGGTTTGGCATCCCAGGTCAAGGAGGAATCACAAGCCTATTCCCATTAGGAGCCCAATGCTAAGAAGAAATTAAAAGCCTACTTCTATTAGGCACCCAACTCGCAAAAGGAGCCTAACTCAAAGAAGAAAGCCTAAATGCAGTTGGAGAGCCCGATAAATATTTCTCATCTCCTCCACGCTTCACAAGCACCATGTAGAAGCTGGGGGGCATTTGTCGGAAAATTTATTTCACTGGCCAATAAGAAGACGACACTTGGAAAAGGAATATTGCTTAGGTCAAACTAATTACCCTAATTAAATTCTATTTAATAAGGGAAATTGTCTTTGATTTAAGATATGAATATCTTCATAGATCAAGGATCCAATCTCCACCTAGGCGTACCCCCCATTTATTTTTCATCAATTCCTTTAATATGCCATCAATTCCGATAAGATTCCTTCAATTCCATGGTTTTCTATTTAATTCCCACAATATACCGTCAATTCCAGTAATCCGTCAATTCCAATATTATTCCGCAAGTCCACCCAAGCCGCAATCCTCGCAGGCCTCGAAGACACCAAGTCCACCCAAGCCGTAATCCTCGCAGGCCTTGGAGACACCAAGTCAACCGAGCCGCAATCCTCGATACTCGTGGGGCATTATCATAAATGACAAATTGTTTCAAGGCAACTTGGGGGGTACTCCTATGGTGGGTTTGAAAATCATATTCCACAAATCCATAATTCAAATCTTTTTTCTCAACTTCCAGAAAATCAGTTCTCAACTACCTTTGAATTAACACCACATACTATTGAGAACTAATGTCTATAATTCACAATTCTTAAACCACTGCGTATATATATATATATATATATATGTACGTGTAGTTAAATATGTGTTGTGTTCCTTCCAAGTGCCAATATATGGTTAGTATAGTGGTACAAGTAAGAGTGTCGAACCACAGAGACCGATTAGACCTCTATAAATTACTAGTTTTGAAAGACCCTAACTAAAAATGAAAGTGACAAATTGAAAGTAGTTTTTGTGTTGTAAATGAAAAATAGCTTAAAATGCAAGAAGAATGTAGTAGTGAATGATATATTGATGTAGAAAGAATAAGGATGAGACTAGGGATTTCAAATTCACCATTGCAAAACTAATTCCATGTTTATAAAATTAAACTGTATTCAACTACCAACCTGTTTCCAGAGTTCGTTTTACATATATATGATCAGCCATATGATGTGTGGTTTTGATCAAATTCTCCTAATGTGCAACCTAATTGGGATGTTCAATTTTGGTTCCAAGTTAAGAGTCAATAGCACGCAAGAAAACGGTAAAGAACCAAAGAAAATACACAGCAGGATATTTGCATAGCATTCTCTTCATTCATTCACATGTCTACCAAGATTAAGCATGATGTTTACTATAACCTTGTCCAAATAATCTGTAGGCAACCCTAATGGTGATCAAACATTAAAATTGACAAACAAATTTAACAATAGATTCAGTGAATGAAACAAGAAGCAGATTGATGAACTGAATACTTTAACTTAGAAACATGGATCAATGTTGCAAGGCTACATCGAAATCCCTAGCTATGAATTTAGTTACACATCATGTTCACAGAGATTAAAACAAAAATAAACAACATGAGTGAAAATAAATTCATGAGAAGAAACCCTTGAACCAATTCAGATGTTGAACTTCTCCAAGAACAACCTTATGCGATGAGTCCTGATGATGGAAATATATGGACGGCTAGGGTTTAAGTGTGTGTGAAAGGAGAGAATAACAAAAAGAAGTAGGTCAAGGGTTGTGAAATTCGTTCAAAATAAATAGGGTCTGTAAAAGTGGCTAAAAGGCAAGTTTTTATGAGGTAAAAGAGGCTGCAAGATATTCCAAAGAGATCCTAACAAATCAGTCTTTATTTTGCACGTTTTTCCCTTATTTGGCACCTCCAAATCAGGCTAGAAATCCCCATTGCTTTCCCATTCTGCTCTTAGTCTTCAAACAAGCCAAGTTCGCCTTGGATTCTTTATTTGGACTTCAAAACAGGTCACGAAACTTGTTTCCACGTTTGAACAAGGGTTAGCTCCAAAAATGGCATGTTTTCATTTCTTTTTTTTCTTCAACTTGATCCTAAAGTAGATGCAACTACATACTAACACAAAATAGGGTAAAACGCAACAAGTTTAACTCAAAAACATCACAAATAGACTAGAAATGGATGGTATAAATGTATAAATATATGAGTTATCAATATGTTCTTAGTTACTTAACTAATTTATTATTCACATCGAAAACCAATTAACAATCCATTCCCACTCTTCACAACCAAACTCAATATAATATCCCTAGAAAACAAAAGCGATTACATAATATCTCATCAACATTTGAATACTCCAATATCACCCAAACATATACTTATATAATTCTCATAATAATAATCAATAATTAAGTAACAAGATAAACTTCGAATATCATACCACCCAGGAATATCATAAAACACTATAGCATAAACTTGCAATTCACACAAAATCAATATAGTTCATAAACAGTCAAGCTTTGTTTCCACGATCATTCTAGTAGTACTCGAAAGGCGATACTACTTCGGAAGACTCACGGTCAACCGAGGGTCAAACTTTCTAAATTGGGTCAACGGGGCCCACGAGGCCCACTACCTCCGATTTCCGATCCAAGAGTGCCTACGGGTTCAACAACATTTACTCTATTTGCCCTACAAGTTTGGTCTGAATCGAACGGTCGGATCGCTCACGATCGAACGGTTAATGTTTATCTAAACCTTAGACAATTGAATCGGAACATCTGGGGCTCCGATTCACAATCCGCGATTTCCTAAACAATCCAAGGAGTGCCTAGGTCATCATATATTAAATTGAAGACGATCCAATGGTTCGAACATATCGAACCCAGAAATCGCACAATAGGGAAAATCCTTTCAAGGCTCAAACGATATCCAAATTGAAATCCGAGCACACCTACGTGCTCGTGACAACACGAGGATCACATTGGGACAAAATGCCCTTCTGCTACAGTGCCCACACGCGTGGGTGTCCTAAGCGATACCGGTGGCTTGAAAATCTCCAAACCGAGGGCCACATTTCCACCTACAGCTACTACTACTCGACGAGTGGAACACTTTCTTCAACTACAGTAACATCCAATTCGGACGACAAGTGGTCGGAAATCCGATTGGAAAACCAGACAAACTTAGGGTTGTAAATTGAACCACCTAGGCCAGAAATCATTCCAATCCTACCTAGCCATTAGGTAGAGCTCGAAAAATAAGTGAGAAACCATACCACACTCGTCAGATTTGGTGGCCGGAGGAGGGAGAACGAGCTTGAGAAAAACCGAGTGGTTTTCGGCATGATTTTTGAACTTCCCGATGACTGGGCTGGTTGTTGGCGGCGGAGGAAGGTCGGGATGGGAAGAGGGAGCAGCGGCGACCACTTTTGGTCCCATCCCAACTTCAGTGGCGGGTTATGGTGGCGGCGGCAAGGGTCCATGGCAGCGGCTGGAAGAAAATTCGAACCGGCAGGGGTTTTCTGTGCGACAGGGGAGAGAGAGAGAGAGAGAGAGAGAGAGAGAGAGAGAGAGAGATTCTATTTTTAAAAATCCAATTTGGCAAAATTACGGTTCTGCACCTACTTGATTTTTTATTGTATCTTTCATAATACAACTCATATCCAGTAGTCTTCCTATTACATGGTATATATAAATTCTTATTACATATAAAAAAAATTAAAAAAAAAAGGAGCATTTTTGCTTTCCATTTTAACTCAATGTGTACCGTCACCACCCTCTTAAAAACTTGACACATGTCTTTGACTATAACTGACAGGACCCGACCCAAATTTCACTTTGGAATCTGCGCCAAACTCTGTGCGCGTCCGACACCTGGTAGGTGCCGAGCACACTTGACCAAATTGCCCTTTTAACTAAGACTCAACAATTCTTTTAAGGTTTGACTCCTACTGAAAATCGGCAGAGTCTCCCTTGTAAAACAAACATTTCCCAAAAACTTTCCACTTGTAAATATACAATTAATATTGAAAACTAAATCCCAATCGTTCAGCATGCATCATGCAAATAACTTTGAATGGCCTCAAGCCTCTCTATACCAAATAAATCATTTTCCCATCTAAAACTGGTCTCAACTCTTAGAACAATAAGAATATGTTATCAAGTTCCAATATAACATAACTGAACAACTTTTCAACACTTGATCTTGTGGCTGCACCTAGTAACTCTAGGTTGCCTACGTACCCTTACTACGGGATCAAGCCATACGTAGTTCTTTCTACATAAATTCTAAGTAAACAAAGGTAACTTAAACAAATAAAATCGAGAAACCTTCATAAATAATTCAGATCAATCCACTGAAACTTAATCAAGGGCTATTGAGGTTAGAACAATCCTCTACTTATCCCACATGTGCACAAATAAATATATATATATATATCTATATAATCAACTTATTACTTATAAGCAGGAAAAAGAGAAAATTATTAAAATAGCATTGACCACGTGAAACCTTAATGTCAATATCAACAATTTAAAGAAAATATGTTTCCCTCTTTCACATGTAAAAACAACATATCACTTACGAAAATAATTGTGAATTATATAAAATCCTTAAACCTTAGGAAATTCTTAATCTTTGTCTCATAAGTTGGAAAACATATATTAAAACCTTCACCAACAAGTACCAAGATAAAATCATAAATTTTATTTTAAAACATCTCAAAACTTAAATACCCTCCACCTAGGCGTACCCCCATTCATGATCTGTAAATTTCAAGTGTCACATAAGCGACACATCCTCGCAGGCCTCGGAAACACAAAGTCAACCCGAGCTGAATTCCTCGCAAGACTCAGGGGACACTTAGTTAGCTTGAGCCGCATTCCTTGCAAGACCCAGGGGACCTTTAGTCAGCCTGAGCTGCGCTCCTTGCAGAACTAGGGGGACACGTAGTCAGCTTGAGAATGTATATCCTCGCACCACACGGTTCAGGCGTCCCCGAAATTCATGGGGCATTGTCATAATTGACAAAATTGTTTCAAAGACAACTGGGGGGTACTCCTGTGGTGGGTTTGAAAACCATATATCGAAACTTATCATAAACTTTCCCTTATTCCACAAATCCATTTTCCAAATCTTTTATCAACTTTCCAAAAATCAGTTCTTAACTACATTTAAATTTGTACCACATACTATTGAGAACTAGCATTCATGATTCATTGATTTCAAGCCACTGAGTATATATTAAATAATTCATATAATTAGATATTCAATTAATGTCTTATCCACACCAAAATTCAGTTAATAAGCTATTCCCAACTTTACATAATCAAACATAATATCCTTAAAAAGTAAAAGCGATTACATAGTAGACAAGCCAAACATAAACAAAATACTTCACATAACATTCAAGCCTCGTTTATAAGATCGTTCTAGTACTTCTTGAAGGATGAAACTACCTCGGAAGACTCTCGGTCAACTGAGTGGTCAAACTTTTCAAGTGTAGTCAACCGGGCCTGCGGGACCCATGACCTCTGATCTTCGATCCAAGAGTTCCTACGGGTTCAACAGGGTTTAATAAACATGTCCTGCTAGTTTGGTCCGAATCGAACGGTCGGATCGCTCGCAATCGAAAGATCAGACAGTTACCGTTCAATGCAAACTTTAAGTCATTGAATCAGAATATCCGGGACTCCGATTCACGATCCGCAAATTCCTATATGATCCTAGAGATGCCTGTATCACGATTTATGAAATTGGCGCTACTACATTTCACTATTTGCGCGACAACCCTAAACAACGCGTAGCGTAAAATCAAGCGACGAAAAAATTTCGTCGCGCAAAAAGACTTAGCGCGAGAAAAAAAAATATATCGTCGCAAAAAGGTAGGGAAAAAACCCGGGAACCCTTTTTTTGGCGCCAAAGCCATACGTGACAACAAATGTCCTCGCAAAAGATCGCTTTGCGGGCCAATAGTTAATGGCGTTGCGGAAAAAAAAAGCGGGAAGAAAAACGCGGGTTTTAGGTTTTGGCACCAAATTCTTGCGCCACGAGATAAGTTATTTTGTCGCGCTTACTCTGTAACGACAAATAGGTTTCGTCGCATTAAAAAACGTTCCAACATCTTGCGCGATGACATATTTAGTGACGACAAGATGACTTGGCACGATGAATACTTGAGAGACGAAAAATATTCTTATCGTCGCGCAAAGATCGATGTCGGAAAAACCTTGCGTGACAAAATATTGCGCGACGAAAACATTAATTGCACGACGAATTTTGCACGACAATGAAATTTTTTTTGTCCCGCAAATTTTTATGCATTTGCGCGACGAACACTTGTTCGTCTCGCAAACCTTCGTCCTTTACTTCATCGGTTTCAGCCATTGCAGAGGCAACTGCAAAAAAAATTGCAGCCCTCCCTCTCTCTCAAACGATTTCAGCAACTCGTCAATTTCATTTCGTGTATAAGTTGAACTACCTTTGCTTCTGCTGCGTTCGGTGGGTATGTATTTTTTGTCGTTAGTGTAAAAGTTTTAATGTAAATTTATACTAACACCATTAATTTCGTTGTCTATAGGGATATTATATGTGATTAGCGATTGCTGGAGAACGATTGATAAAGTATTTTCGTCGTTTTATAATTTAAAAAAAAATTATTTACATTATGTTTAAATTTTTTTGTGAAATTATATTTATATTATGTTGTTAAATTTATGCATGTTAATGTACGAAGTTAATTGAAATTAACTTTGTACATTTTTTTTTAAGTCAAACTTAGTTTCCTGTTCGAGGTTAGTTGGATTTCACGCATGGATGCTAAAGCGTGACTGCGGTCCAATTAATTCTTGAATTGTCCCATTATTTGGACAGTTTACAAATGCATAGTCATGTCACGTAATTTACGACTACATGATTAGGTTTCGATTGTGGAGATTTCGATGTCATCTCGATACGTTCTTCGGGTGGTACGTAGGTATTTTATACCTACGGTACACCTCAAGAACTGTGTCGAGATGCTGCCGAAATTCATCTACGTCGAAATCTAATCTCATGTAGCCGTAAATTATGTGATATGACTATGCATTCCCGAATAGGATAGGGCCCTTACCAGAGGCATAAGGTGACATTATGATTTTGTACGAATACAACATGATTGTTGTATTGTGATTGTGGTTCTAGGAATTATGAGCAAGAGGTCGATATAGAACCCGAATAGGTGTGCAGATGAATATTTGGATGGAATCGAGGATTTTATTGCCTTTGCACGGGCACACAACCCAGGTGCAACTAAAATCCGTTGTCCTTATCGGAGGTGTAACAACACGTTGTGGGAGACAATTGAAAATGTTCAATTTCATTTGGTAAAAAATGGAATGATTGAGACATATAGCACTTGGACCCATCACGGGGAACAATTAGACATTGCTTCGTCTTCAAGGGCCACAAGAGTGGAGAATGTTGAACCTATTGTGGATCCTAATGAACAAGTCATGGATATTCTAAATGATGCTTTTCCATTTGCATCGACCAGCAGCAATCAAGAGGGGGAAGATGACGTGCCTACATTAATGGACAGTGCAGAGCTCGAACAGTATGAAAAACTAGTACAAAATGCCAACCAAGAGTTATACCCGGGGTGCGAGAACTTTTCTGTTCTCACGGCCATTGTGGAGCTAATGCACGGAAAAATAAAGTATCGTATGTCGAACCTGTGTTTCGATTACTTTTTAGGGGTTTTTAAGAGAATGCTTCCAACGGACAATTGTTTGCCGAAAGACCACCGACAGGCGCAAAAGGTGTTGAATGGTCTTGGATTGGGTTATGAAAAAATTCATGCTTGCAAAAACAATTGCATGTTATTCTACAAAGAGTATGAAACATTGGATACATGCCCTATATGCAATGAGTCAAGGTTCAAAACAACATCTTAGAATAGAATGACTAAGATTCCACAAAAAGTCATGCGTTATCTGCCCTTGAAACCTAGGTTGCATCGATTGTATATGTCGAAGCATATTGTCACAGATATGAGATGGCATAAGGAAAAACGGGTAGATGATGATGTGATGTGGCATCCTGCAAATGGGGAAGCATGGAAAGAGTTTGATCAAATGTTCCCTGAGTTTGCTGCTGATCCCTGAAATGGTAGATTGGGACTTGCCACTGACGGATTCAATCCGTACGAGGTTCTAAACCAACACCACAGCACTTGGCCGATTTTTGTATTCCCATATAATTTGCCGCCTTGAAAGTGCATGAAAAAGGAATATATGATGATGACTGTTTTGATAACTGAGGATACCGGCAGGTCAATCGATGTTTACTTACTGCCGTTGGTTGATAAGCTCCAGGATTTATGGACAAACGGTGTGCGTACGTATGATAAATCCACTAGGAAGATGTTCAATTTACGGGCAGCAGTTATGTGGACTATGAATGAATTTCCGACGTATGCAATGGTTTCTGGGTGGAGCACGAAGGGTTATATGGCATGCCCTATATGCAAGGAAGATGTGACTTCTAGTTGGCACGCTGGAAAATTTTGTTACCTTGGTCATCGGAGATGGTTGCCATGGGACCACGAGTGGCGGGAAAAGGATAAAGAGTTCGACAGGAAGAAAGAGCATGGCCTTAGACCTAGAGAGTGGTCCAGGGATGAGATCTTAGAACAGCTTAACCATTTGGATTTTGCTCCGTTCGGGAAAACAGTTAGTCGGACCAGACCTGCTACACATATGAATTAGACACACAAGCCTATGTTTTTTGAGCTTCCATATTGGTCAAAACTAACATTGAGGCACAATCTCGACGTTATGCATGTTGAGAAAAATGTCTTTGACACATTGATGGGCACGATTCTAGATATCGAGGGGAAGAAAAAAGACACGATCAAAGCTCGTCTGGATTTGGAAAAAATGGGCATACGAAGGGGTTTATGGATGAAAATGGACAGTCATAAAGCTAGAAGGGATCTTGCATTTTTTTCCATAAAACTGAATGACAAAAAAGAGTTTCTCAAGTTTGTATCGACTGTAAAATTTCCTAACGGGTATGCTTCTAATATCGCACGTTGCGTGAATGTTGATGGGGGTAAATTTACTGGACTAAAGAGCCATGACTGCCATGTCTTTATGCAACGCCTCCTTCCTGTGGGGATTCGACACCTATTGCGGGAAGATGTAGTCAAGCCAATCCTATTGTTATCCATATTTTTTTCCCAACTGTTGGCAAAAACGTTGCGAAGGACAGACGTTAATCAGTTGCGCCATGACATTGTCCAAGTCCTATGCAAGTTTGAGATGATATTCCCTCCAGCTTTCTTCACAAGTATGATTCACGTGATGGTTCACTTGCCAGAAGAGGCATTGCTTGCTGGTTCAGTCAACTACTATTGGATGTATCCAATAGAAAGGTATATAATCATTCCATATTTGTGTATGCATAATTATCATATGCTTGCTACTTCCTAATTTGCATCGTATCGTTTTATTTTCGTAGGCTTCTCAGAGAGCTGAAAAAAAGCGTATGCAACAGAGCAAAGCCCGAAGGATCAATTATAGAGGCTTGGGTTCAATACGAGGCACTTACTTTCTGTGGAATGTATTTAAAAGATGTGGACACGGCTTTCAATCGTCCTCAGCGCAATAATGACGGAGGTGTGAGAAATGCGAAACTTTCTATTTTTGCCCAAAGCGCACGACCCTTTGGAGAGCCTGTACGAGGAGAGGCGTTTTCCAAAAATGACATGGAGGTGGCCCATTGGTTCGTACTAAACAATTGTGATGAGATAATCCTATATTTGGATGAGCATGAAGAGATGATGAAGCGAGAACATCCATCACAATTGTATTCCAAGAAACACCGTGAATTGTTTCCACTATGGTTTTTGGAATATGTAAGTTATAAGTGTTTTGTATTTGACATATATATTGTAGTATTTATGCTTCTCAAACTAACATGTGAATTTTTTTGATAATATTTAGTGAATAAGTTGAAATAAGAGAATTCCCCCATTTACAGTGAAGAGTTATATAACTTGGCATTTGGCCCAATTAGCGCTGAATTATTCTCGGGTTGCAATGTTAACGGCATCAAATTTTTGGGGACTGCAAGAGATGACAAGTTGTGTACGCAAAACAGCGGTGTCCATGTCCCAAGTGGAGGTGAAAGTACGGACATTGATTTCTATGGCAAACTCACAACTGTCGTGCAATTGCTTTACAAGGACCAATACCAAGTAATCATTTTTAAGTGTCGATGGTTTGATACAAACCCGAATAGGCAGGGAAGTGTTAAAATCGACCATGGGTTACTATCTGTGAACATTAACAGAACTTGGTATGATGACGACCCTTACATTTTGGCAAAAATGACAAAACAGATTGTGTATCTAGATGACCCTAAAGCCGGACACGGTTGGAAAGTTGTTCAGCAGATGGATCAGAGGAATGTGTATGCTATACCAGAACTAGACCCATCTGACAACGACGTCGACGTTGTTGACCAACGTTTGGAATCTTCGATGGAAAATGTTGCACAAACACTTCTAGATTCAAATGTTATACAAGAACCGTTTCAACTTGAAGGAGTGTCTTCAAGAGAAATACCGATTCAGTCAATTACAATTGACCTCGGTGATCTTCCACGATACGATCCAACTGTGGGCCCAAACAACGACGATGATGTACTTATGGAGGATGAAGAGGATTGGGAGACCGAAAGTGATGATAGCGATGGTAACGAAGATTATTATAGTTCAGATGATGAATAATGTAATTTATTTGTGACCTGTCATGTAAATAATGTAATTTATTTGCGACTTTCCATGTAAATAATGTAATTTATTTGCGACTTGCCATGATAGCGACGGTATATCGTTTTATTTTCTCATTCTACAAATCGTAAGCTTCTCAATGATTTTAGTTAAATATTTCATACCATTTTAATTTAATTACGACATAAATACGAGCTATACATTCATTTAAATCCTATAAATACAAGCTTTCCATTACCTTCATTTAAATCCTAAAGTCATGACGTTTTTGGCAATAATTTCTTTTACTTTTTTATATATAAAAAAAGTTGGTTTTACACATTCCATACTTATCTTAATATAACATACCTACAATCTAAAATGATAAGCCGGTGAATGAACTCTACCTACAATCTAGTATAATCATTCTTCTATACTTATCTTAATATAACATACAATTACCATAATCTTAATTTAACTCTAATGTAATCTACAGATTCCATAATCCTAATGTAACGTACGCATTATGTAACCCTAATGGAACCTACAATTGCCATAACCCTAAGGTAACCTACAATTATCGTATTGTAGGAGTTTCATTAGTTTAAGTTATTTATTTCTGGAAATGATCCTTTACTTGCACCCTATATTATTGTTTAATACATGCACTTGCAGGTTTAACTTTGAATTATTTTTTGAACACAAGGGCGATAGTGTAACTTTGAATTATTTTAATCCATTAATTAGGTTGAACTATTTTCACACTACAATGAATCCAATATAAGTACATAAAGTAATAACATTTACTCAGCTATGCACACTCATCCTAATATAAAATTGTCAATAATAGATAATGAATACGTAACATGTGCAAAGTAGTTTATAATATATTTTTCGCGCAGGTTCAGAAAATATTGGTGGTTTTATTCCCGCTTATAGAAAAGTCTTTGCGTGACGGATAAATGTATTTTTGTCGCGCAAGGTTATATTTTTTAACTTTGCGCGACGCCAGAACTTTTTACATCACAAAATCTTTTGTCATACGCATTATTTCGTCTCGCAAGGTGTTGAAATTTTGGCGGTCCATCTCCCACTGATTACAGTATCGAACCAGCGCGATGGATAATTTTGGTTTCGTCGCACAAAGTTAAATTTTTTTGTTTGCATGACGTAATTTTTTGTCGCACAGGTTTACCCTATCGAAATTTCAGGACGAGTTTCTTTTATTCGTCGCACAAGTTAAAAAAAAAGTTTACGCGATGCCTTTTTTCGTCGTCACACAAACTTCCCAATATTTTTTCTGAAAAACGCGACACATTCCCTCTCCGTCTTTATTCCTCCGTCCTTCTGCAGCCTCCATACCTCCGCCGCCAACCCCAAGACCCTGCATCCACCACCATTCCCTCCAAACTTCGACGCCTCCCAAGCCTCCATAAGTCGACGCAGTCGCTCTCTTGCTTCCTTTCCCCCTCTCTGACCCCAAATTCGTTCCCGCTCTCTCTAACCCAAAGCCCCCATCGCCAGTCACACCACCGCCTCTCCTCTCGCAGCCTCTGTTTGTACGTATATATTTTTTTTTTTTTTTTTTTTTTTTTTTTTTTTTTTTTAAATTTTAATATTCTTGTTTATTTTGTTTTCTATTTGAATTTATGTGAATGATTTAGTTCAGTGTTGAAATTTCTTAGTCTGATGCTTGGTTAGGGTTTAATTTTGATTTTTTTTGTTAGGGTTTTATTTTGTTTTATTTTTTTCAATTTTAAATATATTCGGGTGAATTTTTTTTTTTCTGTTTGAATTTATGTATTTATTTACTTAAGTGTTGAAATTGCTTAGTCTGATGCTTGGTTAGGGTTTTATTTTGTTTTTTTTTCAATTTTAAATATATTCGGGTGAATTCTTTTTCTTTTTCTTTTTTTCTGTTTGAATTTATGTAATTATTTAGTTAAGTTTTGAAATTGCTTAGTCTGATGCTTGGTTAGGGTTTTATTTTGTATTTTTTTTTCAATTTTAAATATATTCAGGTGAAATTTTTTTTTTTCTGTTTGAATTTATGTATTTATTTTGTTAACTATTGAGATTGCTTAGTCTGATGGTTGGTTTAGGGTTTTATGTTTCAATTGAAAAAATCGAGAGTGATAGTTATTGTGGTGGTTTGAATTATGTGTTTTAATGTGATTTTTTTGCTGTTTCCACATGCTGTTTTAGTTTTGGTGTTTGAATTATTGTAGCATTTTTTTGAGTTGGGGGAAGAGAGATAAGAGAGTGAGTTATTGGTATTTTGGTGATTGAATATATGTTGAATTTGTTATTCATTACTTATTGAGGTTTTTATTTTTATTTTTTAAAATAATTTTTTGGCCAAGGAGGTTTTAACTTTGAATGCTTGTTCAGTTTTGCAAATGTCAAACCTTATCAGAAGTCGTAACGCGGTGACGACTGTATCGAGTTTGCCTCCCCCAGCTACGACGTCAGCTGCCACTGCTCCAGCACAGGTGCACGCCATGGCTGTTTGTCCCCGGGTCCCCCATGCACCGGCGTCATTAGAGTCGTCAGTGGCGCAGCCTGTTAGCGCTAGGCGGCGTCACCGCCCCCCCAGTATGACCGACACCACTTCGACCTCCGCTGCTGGTGCGTCGGAGTCAGAAACAAGTAAATATTTCCTTCAACTCCGGCTGTTTCAGACCAAGATTTTAGTACGATTTGTTATTTAACGTTACATTTATATTTCTTTGCAGCCAAGGAGCACACCCGGGAACCTTGTCGCTAGTTGAAGATGGCAAAGGTTACCCGGGTGACCAACAGTCGTATCAACATCGAATACAATGAGCGGCATCGGGCTGCACCAACGGCGGACCAGCATAGCTCATTGGCCCACGACATTGGTCACGTTGTTCGGACCCATTGCCCGATGAAATGGAAGTCTTGGAAGGCCATGCCTGACGAGATGTGGATAGCAGTGCGCTCCCAATTGTCGGTATGTTTCTTACTTTTGAATTGTTTTCCCTTCACATTTTATATATTTTTAATACTTCATGTATGTAATGAATTTATTGCAGAAGAACTACAATTTGGAGGACCTTGACGACAAGATGTTGGCGTACATCAACAGACTCTTTGCTGAGAGGCATAAGCAATGGAAGAGCGACCTGCACCACTATTTTCAGACATATGATGATCCGCAAGTTGCTCTTCAGGAGGGTTGCCCGAAGGAGCTTGAGGGGCGGGAAGATAGTTGGGAGAGGCTTTGCAGTCATTTTCAGGAGTCCAATTTTGTGGTAATTTCGTATCGCTAGTTGATAATTATTACACGTTTTTTACTAATGTTTGTTTAATTTTTAATATTTCATTTAAATTTCAACTAATACGTTTTTTTATTTATCACAGAAGCAGGCCAAAGCAAATAAGGGCAATAGGGCAAAGAAGACTCTTCTCCACAATTCAGGTTCCAGGCCCTTTTCCTATAGGATCGAGGAGCGGCAACGGGTAACAATAAAGTTGTTTTTTATTTCATTTTTAATATATTTTTAATAATATTATTTGGTTTTTTTCATGCAAACATTTTTTTGGAATTGTTCAATTCAGGGGGGGTCCAAATTCCCCAAGATTGACGTCTTTAGCGACGTTTACGTTCGCCCTGAGAATGAGTTGGCTGAGTCCCTTCATGTAAGTAGTCTTTAATCTTAATTATGATATTACACATTCAAGTTTCATAATTGTTATATGAATTATTTAATTAATATTTTATGTTATGTTAAACAGACGACGATGATGGAGAAGAGCCAGTTGGTTCTTCAGGAGTCCGCCTCCCAGCTTCCTCCTGATATGCCGCTCGAGTCTGTGGATCCTCCACATGATGCAGGGTTTCAGATACTGACGAAAACCTTGGATCAGACTCTTGGGAGGCGCCCAGGGACATATTGTCGAGGGATGGGGAATGCTCGTCGGCAGGAACCTAGACCCCGGTCATCGTCGCAGGCAACCAGTCAGGCGACTGCTGCTTTGACGGCAAAGGTGACTATGCTTGAAACCTAGATGGCCCAGATGACACAGTTTCTACAGTCCCTCGCCCAGACCGACGTTCCAGTACCACCTTTTACTCCCTTGTCAACCTCTGAGCCCATCCAACCCGAGCATGGCCACCACACCTTTGCCCCTATCGACAATGCCCAGACTTTCATGCCGCATTCGCTTGAAGATCACGTAGATTTTGGAAACTTGTTTAATTAGTTTTTTACTTTTACATTTTAAACATTTCTATTGTATTTTATACATTTATTTTATGTCAAATTTATCTCTTCATTACATTTTTTCATTGTAATAAAATAAACAAAAAAAATAAATTTAAATCGGAAAAATATATTTTATATTTGCGCGACGAAAAATCTTTCGTCGCGCAAGGATTATTTTTCTTGGTGCAACAAAAACTTTCGTCTCGCGAAAAGAAAGTGCACGACAAAAACTTGTCGTGCAATCAACGGTGAGATGAAATGCACAACGTCCCTTTTTTGTCGCGCAATAGCTCGTGAGACGAAAGAACATGTTCTTCGCACAAACTTTTACAACACCAATGCGTTCCATCGCGCATATTTAGCCGCGCAATATTTTGTGAGACTAAATGCGCGACGGCCATATTTCGTCGCGCAAAATTTTACGACCCAAATGTATTTCGTCGCGTTGAAATTTCACCAACGCAAATATTTGGTCACGAAATAGCTTGTGAGACAAAATTCGCAACGGCTTTGTGTCGTCGCGCAAACTTTTCTGACACAAATGTTTTTCGTTGCCCTGAAATTTCGCCAACGCAAATGTTTTCGTCGCACAAATAATTCTGAGACCAAGGTCTCTGTCGTCCGTAAATATTTGGTGCGACGAATGCATTCATCGGTCGTTTTTGCTCGACCAATTGGAAATAAATAAGCGCGATGAATTATTTGTTGCGTTGATATTTGCGTGATGAAATTGTACTTTGCGTGACGAAAGTTCTTTCGTCGCGCAAATGGGAAAATGTAGTAGTGTGGAGTTGATCCAACGGTCCAAAAATATCGAACCAGGATAACACCTAATATGTGATATCCGATCAACAGTCAAAAGATAACCAAAATTAAATCCGAGCATACCTCGTGCTCAGGACGACATGAGGATCATTTTAGGACACAAAGACTAGTCATAAAGTAGCCCACGCACCGGTAGCGATCGAGTGTCCATAGTAATTCCCGCGATTGGAAAATCTCCAAACTGCCGGTCAAGACTTATACCCACATGATCAGAACAATGAGTGGAGCAACTTTTGTTTGGACCATGGCCAAAAAGTGGCCGAAACTAGCCGGAACGGAGTCGAAACCGTAGGCCAAATATGGGTATAATGAATGAACTATAAAACCTCAAAATCGATCTAGAATACCTATAAAAACGGATAGAGCACAAAGAGCTCATTGCCAGAAAATGCAAGAACATCGCCGGAAAAACCTAACCCTTTTCAGCTTCACAATGAGCTCATCGTCAACGAATCAGATCGAGTCTTAGGTGGGTTTTGTAGAGGATGACGAGGGGAAGATATTTCGTGAAGGTTGCGATGGCAACCGAGATGAGACGACGCCAAAAAAAGTGATGGAAGTGGTTGCCAAGAGAAAAAAAAACCCCAGGAAATCTCGTTATATCGCAAGGAAGAAGAAGAGAAATAGGAGGCCGATACTGTAGCAGTACTGTAGCAATCACAGATTTTTAAATTCCCACTACGTCCTTTTCGTTTCTAGACCTTTCCTCCTTCGTTACAACTCAGAATTGGGTGTGCCGCATGTCTATGAACTCGTATCGTTGAGCTCTACGTAACGGTACCACCCAAATCCCCAAATTCTTTCCCAAACAAAAAGTCAACTTTAAACCCATTAAAATATCTCCGGATTAAAATTGTTGTCTTTTACTTGAATATTTTAATAATTAAATATTAATTTAGGAACGGGATATCACAATAACTATAAATAACTCTCTATTTTCAAATTTTTTAAAGTATTTGAAAACAAAAAAATAAAGTCAAATAATAATAAAATAAATTTTTTTAAAAAAAATTTCTCTTTGCCTTCATTACACGCACAAATTAAATTAAATTAAAAATAGGGTGGTGCTAGAGGCACCAACTTTGGGCACCAACTTGGGCACCAACTCCCTAATAGAGGTTGGGCCGGCCAATACACCGGGACCCACGCTTTATTAGAGAGTTGGTGCTCAAAGTTGGTGCCTCTAGTATTTTTCTTAAAAATACCCAACTTCTGCAGAGAGACCGAATCAATTTAGGACTAGCCTCTTTAGATTTCTTATTAACTCGTCACACCCCTCTTTAAATAAACAAACCCCAAATTCCAAACCCATCTCCCATCTTTGTCTCTGAAAAAAAAAGGAATCTAATAAAATAGCTTATTTTCTCTCTATTTGTATATTTATTTGTGGTGTTGTCGGTCGGGGTGGCTAGGGTTTTGGGGTTTCGGAGTGGGTGGTTGTTGTGGTGGGGGGCGTGGTGGAGGGTGAACAAGGTGGATGAGTGAATGGTCGATGGGGTGGCTGTAGAGAATAGATCCCTAGTGGTAGGGTGGGTTGGTAAGGGGGAAAGAGAAAGAGACAATTTTTTGAAAAAAAAAATATTATTATTTGACTTAATTTTTTTGTTTTTAAATACTTAAAAAAATTGAAAATAGAGAATTAACTATGGTTATAGTTAGACATGTGTCAAGTAGAAACGTAGCAGAAAAAATTATGTGAAACAGTAATTTTTACACTTGGCATACCGTGATTCGCGGGATAACAAACAACGATGGGAAAGAACGCAGTGAAGAAAACCCAGAACGCTGACATTACGGAGCAAGCAAAGCAAAGTCTTCAGAGCTCAAAAATATCAATATGGAACCTGAAAGCAAGCCAAGTCTCTCTGAACTCAGCAGCACAGCAGCATTAGGAGATTACGTTCTGATATCAGAGGTTGGGGAAGGCTCCTTCTCCAGAGTGTGGAAAGCCGTGCACAGAGAAAGTGGGGAGGTGGTGGCTCTGAAGCAGGTCTTCCTCTCGCGGCTCAACAGGCACCTCAAAAATTGCTTGGATTGCGAGATCAGATTCTTGTCTTCTGTTTGCCACCCCAACATCGTTCGTCTCCTCAAAGCTTTCCAGGTACTTGATCATCCTCCTTTCCTTCAATTTCTTCGATTAATTTTTATTTTGTGGTTTTTTTAATTTTTAATTTTTTTCCATATACCCATTTCATTAGTTTTGTTGAATCAGAGCAATATTGTAGGAAATTTGGAGTTTCTAAATTTCCATATTTTAGTGAAACTAGTTTTTAATGGCTAATCACGCTTCAACTTGTGTCGTCTGTCTTTTGATTTTTCTCTTGGTGATTGATTGATTTTTATGTGACTGGTGATTGGTTTAGTGGTCAATGTTATTTATAGGTTTTTACCTAAAATATTTGAGGGATAATATTAGTAATTGGTTCCTCCATCCACCCGGTAGTAGCCGTGGTGATTTTGAGTATGAAGGATTTATTATGCTTGCATTGTGAATGCAGAGAAGCCTTTGCCATAGATTAAGTTCTGAGCTGGTTTTTTTATTTTTGATTGGTTGGATTGAATTTTACCCCCTTCAAATAGGTTTTATTTTTCTCTCGCCTATGGATGATTGAAGCCTCAAACCTAAGTTCTGCCTGCCCCACTCCACCAGTTTTGCATTTATGCTGGCTCTCCGACCCTTAATCTCCTTCCACCATTCTGTTTCTTGATCTTCATGTTGTCAGATACCTCTTCATTCTATTTAGTTAAATTATCCTTTACAGCCCAAAGGACCTTTGCTAGAATTATCCTAAGAAATCCTTGGAAATTGGTTATTATCCCAGCAATCTTCATTCTATCTACAGAACCTTCTAAAAGATATATGGCATTGGCATGTCACTATACCACTAGCTAAGATCCAAATATAATGGAGGGGGTGGATAGGTTTCTGTTGACATTCCTAAATACTGGCACACTAATTTGTTTTTCACAAGTACAACAAAAATTCTCATCTCACATGAGTACTTTCAGATATACACTTGTTTGGATGAATACAAGGATATCTTTATCTTCGATTCAATTTTTTAGTCAAACTTTTAATGCAGAAAACCTAAGCAAGAAACATGGGTCCGAGTCAGGATTCAACTGTTTAGACTTAGACTTACTAACCTACTTGATTCTAGGACTGTTATGCACCATTGTTGTCATTTTCTATGATTAGTATAATGCCTCACTTAGATTTGAGTGATCCTCAATACACTCATTCCAGCCTTCACTGTCATGAATCACTTATTTATCTTTTAAACATGTCAAGGCATGAGTATTTTATTTAAGAACATTGTTTATCAGTAACTGGCCCAAACCTCTCAAGTTCTATAGCTAAGCATGTTTCATACAAACGTAAAAGTAGGCATAAGATCATCCTCTAAACACTAAACTACTTTCACAGCTGATTTTGAATGCAGGGGTTGTTCTTGAGGGATTCCATAATCACAACTCAAGCTTTTAGAACCCCAAATTCTCAACCTCTATCTTTTTGAATTTTCATAGAAGTTTGGAAGTGAACATGGGATTGTCTCTAAACATCAAACTACTTTCACAGTATATTTTACGTGCAAGGACTGTAATTGATCCGATTCCTAGTTTTGAGGGTATTGGATTACAGATTTTAACATGGAACCCACATAATTTTTTATTCCTTATGTGTTAGTAAATGTAGGGGAAGTCATGAATTGGAATTATTCCAATACCCGTTCCTGATAAGTAAACATGCCATAACGGAATTGTGTACATAGGGAAATGGAAGGGGAAGATAATGAGATTATATAAATGAAGATATCCAGGCACCAAACCTTTTAACTGTTGGAAACCAGCATGTTATTTGGCTATTATTTAGCATGTTATTCATGTCTTCAACCCAGAATGAAGGTTGCATATTCCTGGTCCTGGAATTCTGCAATGGGGGAAATTTGGCAGCCTATATTCGGCAACATGGGAGAGTTCAAGAACAGATTGCTAGAAAATTTATGCAGCAGCTTGGTAGCTTCTTATTTTCATTTTAATTTGTAATAAGGCTTTGCACTGCTTCTACCATCTGCATCTAATCAAATTCTTGTTGTACAGGGGCTGGTTTGGAAATACTACATTCTCACCACATCATTCATAGAGACTTAAAACCAGAGGTAAAAACAGGATTTTATAGGACAATGGCAACAAAAGTAAATTTTCCTATTCGTAGCCATTATTTTCTTTTGCCAAGGAAGTTATGTATGGGCCCTATGATTAAATGTCCACAGAAGATCAACTTTCAGTTTGCACCCGGGTGTTTGTTTCACAATGCTGGAGAAGCAAGAACCCAAGAGGACATTCTTAATCTGATTTTGATATTCACCATTATGAAAAAACAAAAACCAAAAATTACTTCTAAATATTAACAGATTCTTTTGGGTTTGGAGTCTTCAAATTGGAAACTTCCATGTCTTTTTTCTTGAAGCTTTTTGAAATTTCTAGTCTTAGTGATGTCTTGTCGCATAAAATGCTACTTCAGAAGTTTACATGTCAACTAATTGTTGTTCTGACAATGTTGTAATTTTCTAAAGTAGAGTAGAAAAGTTGCAATTTATTTTCTGGTTTTCTACATAGTACCTGCAAATGTAGTGTTTTACCTATGGTTTGACAACATCATAATTCTCAAATTTTCTGAGTTCTTTTGTTTTGTTGGACTAGAACATTCTACTCTCTCACAGTGACGATGATGCGGTGGTAAAGGTAGCTGATTTCGGTCTCTCAAGGTAAACTCTAGCATAGAGGGACGTATGTGGAAATTCATCCTGTAACCCTTTTTATCATATATTATTTACTATGATTTAAAGCAATTAAATTTGGAAGTTTCATTTTTTGCCTTTTCTTTTCTACTATGGACAGAAGCTTACATCCAGGTGATTATGCGGAAACAGTTTGTGGATCCCCATTATACATGGCACCTGAAGTTCTTCAGTTTGAAAGATATGATGGAAAGGTATGATCTTGTCCAGAGCTCATGCCATTTTCCCTTTTCAATCCGGATGAACAGAAATGAAGGGTTTGATTTTTATAGGTCGACATGTGGAGTGTTGGTGTAATTCTTTTTGAGCTTCTTAATGGTTGCCCTCCTTTTCCTGGTAGGACTAATGTTCAGGTATCAACGTACTACTTTTTGCCATAAAAACTCCTTTAAATTTGCTAGCTCAAATAGTGATAAATTTTTTACTTTCCAGGTGCTTAAGAACATCAAGTCATCTACATGTCTCCCTTTTGACCAACTCATCCTTTCTCGGTTGCATCCAGACTCTGTTGATATGTGTTCAAAACTGCTGTCTCGAAATCCAGGTCTAGCATTATACCTTCCTCAATTTCATATATTCTTATTGTACCCTTCACCAAAACTAGCTATATATGTTGCTTCTCTGTTAGGGACCAGGATTCTCTACCAGGTTGGGATTTTATCTGGTTATACCAGGGTATTAATTGTTCTATTCTTTAAGGAGTTTATGCATCTTCTCCAAGCACTCAGTCCTTCACCCCTGCTGATAGTTACTACCTAGAGCTAAGATCAAATCCCATTATCTCTACAAATCAATTCTCTGAATGCATGTAAGGGTGAATAACCTCTAAATATTGACTTCGTAAAAGGAAAACAAAATTATTATAAATAAAAAAACTCAATCTGTCCGACACCCAAATTTCCCACATCGAAACCCTATTTTAATTGTTGACCATTCAAATTTTTTTTTTTTCCTTTGACTCTGAACTGTTAATGTTAAGAAGGGCCCATATACCCACATTGAAACCCTATTTTAACAGCATGTTAATGACGAAAAACTCTTTCCTCATTAGCCATCTAGAAGAACAGTTGCACGTTGAAGATGAGTGAAATTTTAGGGTATACAAGTAGAATTTGTAAAAGGTTTTCATTGTTTGAAGTTTCATTTGTAAAATTTTATTGAGTCTTGCATGTCAGGTTCAATACCTTGCTCTTGCATGTTGAGGATAATTAAGTGATTTGAATTTTGATTAAAGAAAATCAATATAGATGAGATTTTTGCATCTGCTGTTCCCAATTTCAGTTTATTGTCTATGTGAGCATAAAGTTCAAGTTTATTCATTCGGTGTTGTGGTTTTCATGGTGTAATGTAACCTAAAAATGTTGGTGAGACATTGGTTTGATGGTTCTAGCCATAGGGACCATGGATTTAGGTGATTTTTCTCTTTTGTAGTTGTAGGGAAACAATATGGGAGGCTGAGTGTTCTCTTCAAGGTCAAGGAGGAGCATGAAAGAAGAGGATAAGGGCTGTGAGACAGTGCAAATGTCATTGTAGTTAAACTTAAACATTGCAGATATGGCACAATCCAAACTGTAGAAGATTCTGGTACATGGGTTAAAAGCACGGTATAACCATGTAGGATCCCAATCTGGTAGAGGCTCTTGGTCCTTTGTCTTTATGAGGAAGCCCCTAACTGATTGATGCACTATTGCAGTTCACCGCCTGTCCTTCCATGAATTTTATTTGCATAGGTTTTTCAAGGTTTTTGAGAAGAGTTGAGATGTAAAAACAATTATGGGAACTCGGATGCAGTTTGAAATCTATGTAGAAAGTGCTTTTACTGATGAGTTTGATTCCCAAAAGGCAACAAGGCACCAGTTGAGATCAAGTTCCAAAAGGAAAAATTGTGTTAGAAGAGGTTTCTTGATTGGGAACGTCAAGATCTTCAAGCTCCATCACTTTTCCATGGATCGTGATGTTTTTAGGCTCATTCCTTTTGTTTTGGTAGTAACTATGAGCTTAGAAGTTGGAATTCAATTTCAGAAAGTCTGCCTTGATTGTAATATCTTGAGTCATTTGGTTCCATAAAGGGCATGTTCATGATATTATAGAAATCCTCCTATGAAAATGAGATTGCTCGAGTTCTATTTTTGTTGCTCCTCTTCTTGGATGCTCAAGACCAAAAGCATTAGTTAAAGGAGGTATTAATATGTAATATTGATTTTGCAAGCATAGTTCTTAGGTGTGTATTTTAGTGAAGGATCCTATTTCATCCAATAAACGCTAACAGTTAGTTCTTTCTCATGTGGAATGTTTTACATTTCGCACTTCATCGCATGCACACTGCCTCTCCTTAACTGGTCTATCAATTTTCTATTATGTCTGAACTTATTGATGTGTGTGAGTGCATATCGTGTACTGGGGGAACAAACAAAAGGAAGACAAAAATGAAATAATGTATGGAATTTCCGCTCGTTCTTTATTTAATTTTCATATTAAATGATGAAGAAAATTCTAGAGGTAACTTATCATAAAAGGATATAAATGTGCTCATAAATGAAAAAGGAAAATACATGTTCTCCTCCTTTGTTCTGAGGAGTGGGACAAAGGTGGGTGTTCATAAGACTTGAGGAAGTCTTTTACCAATCAATCAATGAAGACTAGAGGAAGACTTTTACCAATCAATAAATGAAGACTAGAGGAAGACTTAAATACCAATGAATGGCTCCTTTTTTGGTTGGGGGAACGTGTCTGGGTGTTAAAACTCATTGGAGAAAGACTAGAGGGCTGTACCACATCATGTGGTAGATAATGTGTCAATTTGCAAATAACTTTAGTAGCAAGTGGACTATACCAGCCACCTACAGCTTTAAGCCTGATAATTCAGATAATGCTTGCATCCTCTGTTTGACGTCCGCTGCTAGCACAAAGAAAGCCGATGCTTTCGTTGCCTCTTCTACCTCCACATGGCATTGCTCTGTCAGGCTTTCTCCCATTGCGGAGAATTACCCACTACTGTCTTCGGTAGGAGTATGGGCTGTGTCTCAGTTAGTGTGGTTGATCTTCCTAATTGCCTTAGTTAGCTTTGCCATACCAACTACCTAATCAGACACAAGGCCCCTATTCGGAGAGAAAGTTACTAGCATAACTATTTAAAACTTTTAACAACTGTCGCATATGATTATGTGTGTTAAACCCCTTTCAATCTTAACCCCAGAATTACACCGAGTAATAAGTATTCTTTATTGAATTATTGAAACAGTACAATATTCTCAACAACTCATTCTTGATACAGTAATTGCCTAATATAGCTGTGAAGCCATTAACCAATTCGGTTAGAAACTAATTTCTTAACTAATCAATTAACAAATTGACTATGCTAGCTCATCACTAATCCATCTCAGCAATGATGAAGGTTCCTAACAATGTAATCAGCCGATGTGACGTAGTGTTATTGATTAAAATATAGCCATCCCTAGCTCCTCATGTAAATCCCACAAGACTCCCATTCATGGAGGGGAAGAAAGTAGTAATAGAAACAAGAATATGCTTACATGGTTTTCAAGTGGATAGAAAACTGAAGATAATTATTTTGATCTCATAATGAGAAGTACAGGCTTATCAAACTATAAATTGGTTTCGGGATCAGCTCTTGGTCCTTTGTCTTTATGAGGAAGCCCCTGGCTGATTGATGCACTATTGCAGTTCACATCCTGTCCTTCCATGAATTTTATTCGCACAGGTTTTTCAAGGTTTTTGAGAAGAGTTGAGATGGAAAAACAATTATGGGAACTCAGATGCAGTTTGAAATCTATATAGAAAGTGCTTTAACTGATGAGTTTGATTCCCAAAAGGCGACAAGGCACCAGTTGAGATCAAGTTCCAAAAAGAAAAATTGTGTTAGAAGAGGTTTCCTGACTGGGAACGTCAAGATCTTCAAGCTCCATCACTTTTCCATGGATTGTGATGCTTTTAGGCCCATTCCTTTTGTTTGGCCTTTAAAGGTGCATTTTTTCCATTTTAGAGAACTGTTTTGGTAGTAACTATGAGCTTAGAAGTTGGAATTGAATTTCAGGAGGTCTGCCTTGATTGTAATATCTTGAGTCATTGGTTCCATAAAGGGCATGTTCATGATATTATAGAAATCCTCCTATCAAAATGAGATTGCTCGAGTTCTATTTTTGTTGCTCCTCTTCTTGGATGCTCAAGACCAAAAGCATTGGTTAAAAGAGGTATTAATACGTAATATTGATTTTGCAAGCATAGTTCTTAGGTGTGTATTTTAGTGAAGGATCCTATTTCATTCAATGAAACAAACGCTAACAGTTAGTTCTTTCTCGTGTGGAAATTTTTACATTTCTCACTTCTTCACATGCATATTGCCTTTACTTAACTGGTATGTCAATTTTCTATTATGTTTGAACTTAATGAAGTATAGTTCTTACGAGTTCATATCATGTATTGGGGGAACAAACAAAAAGGAAGAAAGATTAGTCAATGAAATAATGTATTGAATTTCCGTTCTTTCTTTATGTAATTTTCATATTAAATGACAAAGAAAATTCTAAAGGAAGACAGATTAGTCAATGAAATAATGTATTGAATTTCCGTTCTTTCTTTATGTAATTTTCGTATTAAATGACGAAGAAAATTCTAGAGGAAGACTTATCAGAAAAAGATATACATGTGCTCATAAATGAGAAAGGAAACTAGATGTCCTCCTCCTTTGTTCTGAGTGAGACAAAGGACCTACTTGTTCTATAACAGTAGTAATATAGTACACAACACAACCCACTTAAATTCCTAATAGAATACCCCAAATTACAGCTGTATACTACCGAATGATATGTCTGCATCTCCTTATGTTTGTGGGGAAGTTGAATATAAACAATGCATGCACTCGTATTAAATTACTAGTTTCTTATTGTTTTATTTAATACTTTTTTAACGACGACAGGAGACAAAATTGCATTACCTCTCTCGACAGTTTTAATTTGCATATAAGACTTGAGAAAGACTTTAACCAATCAATCAATGAAGACTAGAGGAAGTCTTAAATACCAATGAATAGCTCCTTTTTTGGTTGGGGGAAAGTAGGTGTGGGTGTTAAAACTCATAGAGAGACTAGATGACTATACCACATCATGTGGTAGATAATGTGTCAATTTGCAAATAAATTTAGTAGCAAGTGGACTTTACTAGCCACCTACAGCTTTAAGCCTGATCATTCAGATAATGCTTGCATCCTTTGTTTTACAGCAGCTACTAGCACAAACAAAGCCGATGCTTTTGGTGCTTCTTCTACCTCCACGCGGCATTGCTCTGTCGGGTCTTTTCGCATTGCGGAGAATTCCCCACTACTACCTTCAGTAGGAGTATGGGCTGTGTCTTAGTGTGGTTGATCTTCCTAATTGCCTTACTTAGCTTTGCATTAACAACTACCTAATCAATTCAGTTAATAGCATAACTATATAAGACTTTTACCAGCTGTACAATATGATTATGTGTGTTAAACCCCTTTCAACCTTAACCCTAGAATTACACAGAGTAACAAGTATTCTTTGTTGAATTATCGAAACTGTACAATATTCTCAACAACTCATTCTTGATACAATAATTGCCTAATATAACTGTAAAGCTCTCATTAACCAATTCAGTTAAAAACTAACTTCTTAACTAATCTATTAACATATTGACTATGCCAGCTCATCACTAATCCAGCTCAGCAATGATGAAGGTTCCTAACAATGTGATCAGCTGATGTGACATAGTGTTATTGATTAAAATATAGGGAGTTTCACTAAAACACCCAAAATGGAGGTTGAAATTATAAAAAAACCCAACACCCAAAACACTTTATAAACACACCCAAAACCCATCATTACACACACTCAAAACCCATTTATAAACACACCCAAAAAGTTGACTTTGTGGTTGATTTTGGGTGTGTTTCTATGTTTAAATAGTACTTGGGTTTTTTTATAAATACATGTCTAGGATTGAGTTTATTTATAAATTTGTATAAAATATAGCCATCCCTACCGCCTCATGTAAATCCCACAAGACTCCCATTCACGGAGGGGAAGAAAGTAGTAATAGAAACAAGAATATGTTTACATGGTTTTCAAGTGTATAGAAAACTGAAGACAATTATTTTGATCTCATAATGAGAAGTACAGGCTCATCAAACTATCAATTGGTTTCGGGACCGGCCTCATTGAATCAAATTCAAACCCAGCTAACGTCTTGAAATAATATTTTGTGTAATCACTGTGCGAGAGGAAAGAGGGTGCAGATGAAGGGAGATTTTTGAGTTTTGATATAGAAGTAAGTTGTGTTGATGCGGAGAGACTAAGCCATTGCATTAATATGCTTGAATTAAATTTATAATGAACCATATTGATGAGAATAATCATTTACCCATGAGAGACACTCTTGATTCAAGGAGTCTTCGATTGTAGATACTTTAGTACAACAATGTAACCAGTATAGGATACCATACCCTTTAGCAATCTTGCTTATTCTTTTAACAAACTGCATATAAGAAGAAAGGCATTTGCTCACAGGCTAATAGTTACATGGAGGTAGCAGTTGGACATGGAGGAATAGCTATTTCAGTAATACCTTGTAACATCAACACAACAGACTTCATTGAAGGACGCAGAGCTGGTTCATCTTGTATACACCATAGTCCCACCTTAACCATGTTCTCCAACGTCTTTTTATCGACCTCTTCACCACCCACGAGCTTATGCAGCTCTCTACCAACAAAGCACTTGTAGACCCAAGTAGATAGAATAATCTCCTCTGCTCTAACATTGATGTCCATGTTCCGCCTGCAACATACAATTTCGAGCAGCACTATTCCATAACTATAAACATCTGCCTTCACTGAGATTGGAGTGTTCTTTTGCCATTCTGGTGCCAAGTACCCTCTTGTCCCTCTGATCCCTGTGAAAGTCCTCGTTTGATCCGGCATCAACAATTTTGCAAGTCCAAAGTCGGAGATTTTAGCATTCCAGAATTCATCCATCAGAATGTTTTGAGGCTTTATGTCACAATGGATGATAGGGGCCTTGCACTCTTCATGCAGATAGAGGAGGCCTCTTGCGACATCAAGTGCAATTGTTACTCTTTCACTCCAAGCAGGATGCCATTCATTCCTGAAAAGGAGATCTGCAAGGGAGCCATTGCTCATATATTCATACACAAGGAGTCTTTTTGAGTCCTCGGCGGAGTAACCAAGCAATCGAACTAAGTTCTTGTGGTGAGTTCTTCCGATTGCTTGCATCTCTGCACGAAACTCCCTCTCACCTTCTTCGACTAGCTTCTCTAATCTTTTCACTGCAATGAATTTTTTCCCTTTGTTTAAAGCCCCTTTGTAAACTGCTCCAAACGAGCCCTTTCCCAATTCTTCTTTGAACCCATTGGTGGCTCTTCTCAGCTCATTGAATGAAAAAGCTCTCAAAGTAAGTTCTTCATCAGCCAGCTCCAAATCACCATTAATCTCCGTCAGCCTTTTGTACCGCAGAAGTCGGATTTTGAAAATATAAAATCCAGAAACTGCAAGGGCCGCACAGGAGAATAGGATGAGAGCTAAAGTTAAAACAAGAATTTGCTCAATCACCTTCTTGTCTGTAACGACCGTGGTAATTGGATTCAGCGGGATGGCTGGATTAGTATTGTTGGGGCTGTTGCCGATCTTGAAGACAGCTGTACTGTACTCCTTGGGATCCCTTCGGACATATCTGAGTGGTAAGTTTTGTTTGACACAAACGTTAGCCCTACTGTTGAAAACAGCTGCCCCGCAGTTGCAGTCTTCCAGACAAGACCTGCTGCATTCTTTCACGGTCAGCATTCCTGCTTCATAGTAAGCCATATCTTCCAATACCATATTCTCCATGGTGATCATGTGATAACTTGATGTATTTTCTTTCCCATCATTACACTTTACTTCAGTATAGTTTCTCAAGCAACCGAGGGTCCTTTGGTCGGAGTCAGCGTAATCTGTTCCAGGAAGGCAAAGACAGTTTGGTTGATTGTCATAAAATGTGCAGTAGCTGTTAAGGCCACAGAAGCCTTTAACATCGCAAGGATCATCCAGTGCTTGCCACAGAATAAGGGATGGCTGGAATTTTCCTGTACTCTCATCATATTCATGAGAATACAACCGGAAAATTCCTTCCACGTCAACAGTCGCACGATATATGGTACTGTTTTTGTAGTTGGTTTTGGACGATTCATCATAATCTAAAACATGGATTTCTTCCCAATTAGTGCTGTTGATGAGAACTAGACGACCTGTAGCGTTAAGATAAAGTTGAAGCTTAGGTTGGACAAAGGTTCCAGAGCTCCAATAGGCATCTGCAGACGAGTTTTCGCTGTTTGCTGAGTATAGAACCAGGTTTCCATCAGGCTGCATGTTGAGATGGAACCGTCCTGTTGAGTGGTCATTTTCCGAAAGACTGGAGAAGAGTGAACCCCCAACAGGCAGAATCTGACCTCCAAGGAGAGTATCAGTAGGATGATTAAAGCTCTCCCAGATGAAATCGCGTCTTTCGTTATACAGAACAAAATTTCCAGAGTCGAGCATGGAGGCAGAGGAAGCTGCAGAGTCTGTTGGTGAATTAGTACCTGTAGTGACGATGAGGTTCTCTTGTCGTTCTCTGTCACTTAGAACAAGCTTGCCGTCACTTGTTAACCGCAGCATTGCATTTGAGGTGACTGGGCGATCGTCGCGATTTGCTGTCCAGACAATTGTTTGCTTGTCTGTTCCCACCAGCCAAATTCCGATTGCAAATCCTACTCCTTTTTTATAAAACCCAAATGCAAAATGGCCAGAAGGAGAAGGCCATGAACTTCGGCTACTTATGGGAGAAAGTGAAGAGCCTGGGCTTATTAGTTGGGTAGAATTATTTTGTCGAGCTCCTTCACCTCCTAGAGAAAATACAGAAAGGAGAAAGGCAACAATCCGAATACTGGAAGCCATACTCAGATATGAAAATCTGGGATTATTTTCACTCCTTAATTTGAATTGATAGGGCATGAGAGAGAAATACGGTGGTTTAAGGTGGGTTGACTGAGCAAGTCTTCTTGTTGAGTCAAGTTAACCACAAATGAAAATCATTGCTGATGATAGAACCCACGCAATCCTAATCTTTACCATGACACAGAATATATTGCATTATCATTTATCTGTACAATGCCAAAGTAAAGATTTTATAGTCGAAATTACCTTCCTATCTTTATGTTTCAAGAATAGATTATGATCAAAGTTACTTTGTATGTAGATTCAAACACAGAACTTTGGGTGGACAAATAACTACTATTAAGTTATTAACCACTTGAGCTATAAGTCCCGGGGTAAATGCTAATTTTTCAAAAAAGGTAAAAGGCTTTTTCTTTTTTAAAATATGACTTTTCTTTATGGCAAAAAAATTAGTGGGGGCAGGGCAGCTGCCCTTGGTGGCCCCATCCTACCTTCTTCTTGTCCCTAATGAATAAGTCTAAAGAGACTTTGGCATAAGAATGAGAAAATGAGGCGTACCTCAGGATTCTCTACCTAATTAAAATCCTAGACTTAAAAAAATTTGAGTTAGTAATTAGAATTAAAGGGCACATAACAGAAAATTAGAGCCGGAAATTTAGCAACCTTACTATATAGCCATTAAGAGAATGAAGATGCTTTTAGATCCCCAAAGATTTCCCTCTATAAAGTGGTGGAGAGAGACCCAATTAGAAAACCACCATTGTGAATGCTCTTAAGTTTGGATCTACTTAACATTAAAATTATAATCAATTAAAGTCTAGAAACGTTTTATTTGACATGATACAAACAGGAGAAAATTAAAAAGAAAGAAAGAAATCTAGAGATTTTCCAAGCTACACCAAATTAAAATATGAATGAGTCTAGCTATATCCATATATCAAATCAAGATTATTTGATTCCCTTGACATATATGCATATACATTACTTCAATGCTTAAAACAAAGATAAATCAACAGTCAACAGGCTTGGCGAAGCTCTGGAGATGGAGGGACTGGTATATCCGTTGTCCCTTCCAACATCAAGATTACGTTCTTCATGAGGGGACGCAGAGCTGGGTCGTCCTGAACACACCAGAGTCCCACTTTTACCATTCTTTCTAGTGTCTTCAAATCCACATTTTGTTCGTCATCTTCTACAAGCTTGTATAATTTTCCGGCCTTAAAGCATTTATATGCCCAACTAGAAAGAATCATCTCATCTGGAACTGAAACTTTTAACTCTATGTTTTTTCTGCAGCATACAGTCTCCAAAAGCACAATACCAAAACTATAGATGTCTGATTTTACTGATATCAGGGCGTTCTTCTGCCATTCAGGTGCCAAGTAACCGCTTCTCTGTTCGACTCCGGCAGCTATTTTTGTTTGATCATTTGGCACCAACAGCCTCGCCAAACCGAAATCGGAGATCTTGGCAGTCCAAGAGTGATCCAGAAGTATGTTTTTGGGGTTTCAAATTGCAGTGTATAATATGCACACCGCACTCTTCGTGTAAATAGAGCACCCCTTTAGCCACATCCAACACAATTCCTACCCTTTCTCTCCAGGAAGGGCGCACGGTCGCGGCCTTATTAAAAAGAAGATGTGCAAGCGAGCCACTACTCATGTATTCATATACAAGAAGCTTTTGGGAGCCTTCGATACAGAAACCAAGCAACTGAACCAAGTTTCTGTGATGAGTTCGTCCAATAGTAGTGATTTCAGCTTTGAATTCCCTCACTCCTTCTTCCACAACTTTCTCGAGCCTTTTAACAGCAACAATTTTGTTGCTAGTTGACAGAGTTCCTTTGTAAACAGCTCCAAAAGTGCCCCTTCCTAACTCTTCCTTGAAGCAATGAGTTGCGTTTTCAAGCTCTGTGTAAGAAAACGATTGTAAACTGAACAATTCTTCAGCCAATCCCACTTTGGTATGATCCAACAGCTTCTTGTACCTCTGAAGTCGGTGCATGTATATGATGAAACTGGAGACTGCAAAGGAAAAACATACGCATGCAATGGAACCCAGACTCACAGCAAGAATTACAATCAAGCCATGACTATTCTTGGTTTCGTATTTCACCGATGTCGAATTTCCGGTAGCCATTGGATTGTGATTGTGTGTTGCATCTACCTTGATGAATCCTGTTGTATCTGGGCTTCTTATACCATATCTAAGTGGTAGCTTGTATTTGTTGCAATTGCCATTAGTATATAGCGCTGCCTTACAACTACAGTCTTCCAGGCAAGAGTCGCTACAAACTTGCGGGTTCTTCAATGGCACCACTGAATAAGGATGGTCAATGGGCCATGATATATTGTCGACAGAAGCTACCTTGTACCCTAGCCGTGGGTCTTCATTGCCAGTGCAGCCATCGTCACTAGCATTCTGATAGCAGCCTGGAAACATATCAACGGGGTTGATTACAAAACCGGGATAACATCGACACTCAGTTTTGTTCGTCTTTTCCAGGACTGCACAATAACTGTTTAAGCCACAGAAACCTTTGACATCACACTGGTTATGCAAATTGGACCAAACAATCGACACCCTTGAGCTGGGGCTCATCACAGAGTAATTGTGCAAGTACAATCTGAAAATCCCATCGGCATCCAGCGTTGCACGGTGGACAATAGTTCCGTCATCATCATGGGCATGGTATGAGCCAGTTGCCAAGGGATGTGCAGTTTCAGGAATCAAAACGAGAAAACCTGATGCGTTCAGACTGAGCAGTTGCGCGGGACCAACAGTGTTGGAAGACCAATAAGCATTTTCGGAAATGGTGGAGATATTTACCGGGTAAGAAACGAGGTTTCCATCACCCTGCATCTGCAGCGAAAGTCGTCCGCTAAAGTGGTTGGATGCAGACACACTAGATACCAAATATGTGCCAGCAGCCAGATTTTGACCCCCTAGTATGGTATCAGTTGGGGAATCAAAGCTCTGCCAGATAACCTTAGAACGATTATCATAGACTACAAAGTTTCCATAATCAAGCATAGCAGCTGAACTTGCTGTTGTTGAAAAATTACTGGCAATGGGTACTTGTTCACCTTGCTCAGTTTGAAGAAGCAGACCGTCTCCCGTTAGCCGTAGCGTAGAGTTGGAGGAGACAAGCGGATCATCTCGCCGTGCAGTCCAGACGACTATGCTTTGCTCAGTCTGATTAAGTTCATTAACAAGCCATATCCCAACAGTGAAGCCGTTGCCTTGTCGATAGAAACCAAAGGCAAACCGGCCAGAAGGTGAGAGCCATGAACTCAGGTTAGAATCCGGGGATAGAGAGGAACCCAATTTGATGACATGTGACTCATTTGTTGCAGCCTTTACAATAATATTATCATTGGTCAAGATAATTAAAGCAGAGAGTAAGAACAGAGCTGCCGGTACATAAGCCATGTATATGAGAGAGAGAGAGAGAGAGAGAGAGAGAACCTCTCAAAGATTAAACAAGCCAGGCCAATTAAACAAAACAAGAATAGAAAAATAAATATTTGAGTAATCCATTTTCGTCCCTGCTGATCAGTTAGACTTGACTTACGTGTTGTCTTGTCATTTACGGCAATTAATGAGAGCAACTGGGTCCTACCGTGGAAATTTCCTCCAAATGCATAAATGTAGAAGTCCCTACTTGCAGGAGTGAAATTTATAGTATCATTATTTTGCTATACTCGATGAATAATACAATGTCATGTGCAAGTACTGTCACGCGTGTCAAAACGTCATTGGTCAAGAATAATAAACTAGTGCTATCCCAATAAATGATTTGATATAGTCAATAATGTAAGGCGATGTAGAGAGTATGCTGAATTGAAGATCAAATTGCATCAATTGCTTAAAAGATCATGAACCTCTCCACTCATTACCCATTTGGTTTCGGTAATTTCCTCATTTTAGAGAATTGTTTTGGTAGTAACTATTGTTGGAAGTTTGAATGAAATCCAGGACACCTTTGCCCCACATTGGTAGAACAGAGAAAGAGATTGGTCCATATAAATGTGGAATGTCCCACGCTTGATAAATGGGCAATGAACCAAGTGGAAGCAATTTGAGCTTCACATGCACTGATAAAAAAAGGACTGAGAATAAGAGAAGTAGAGGAAGGAAGAGCCCATAGTAGCAGGGTTGTGCGCAGGAGGAAGAAAAAGAAAGAGATGCATAGAGAAGAAAAGTTTTATAAGAAAATTTAAAAAAAATCCACATGCCCCAAAAACAATATATTTTAAAAAAACTTACTTTTAAGAAAAATATATATTTCAAAATAATTAGTCCTAGTCCAATCAAACATACACCAAATGGAGTACAAGTGTTATCTATCTTAGGACAAACCAAGTCAATCCAAGACAGTCCCATTATTTAGTCCAGTCCATGACAGTCCACCATACCAAACGATCCCTAAAGGGATATGTTGATTGATTGTACTAGAAATCCTCCTTATTATATTAATTTTAAAAAAAAAAAAAAAAAAAAAAAAAAAAACCATATGAAAGTCAGACTGCATGAGTATTATTTTTGTTGATCCTCTTAGTAATACTTGGAGGTATCACCTTAGTAGCTTCAGTGGCAGAGCTAAGAATTGATGTTATAGTAGGGATGACAAAAATTCCCGTTGGGCTGAGTCCTAACGGGGGGAAATTTTGGGGAAAAATGGGGATCAAGTATGAGGATCCCCGAATCTTAAAAATCCCCGTTGGGTGTGGGGCGGGGATGGTATTAGCATTCCTACCATCCCGTCTTCGAATCTGGCTCGATATTTATAAGATTAATTTTAAATTAATACATATATAATATAATATAAACATTATTCAAAATTTATAAATAAACAAGAAACCAACTCGTACTGCAACTATGCCAAGCCCGATCTTGGTTCCAATGCTACAGAGACAGGTTCTGGGTAAAAACGAGGTATTGTATTGGTCCTGGTGCTGCGGAGACAGGTGTTGCTGATCAAACTAATCTACTTTAGGGATTCACCTAGCAGCCCTTAATAGTTATGGTAAACCAACTAGCTATGCTGCTTCCATAGCATCTGTACTTGGATATACAACTCTTGGTACTCACACAACACTCTTTCATTTTTTTTGGTAGGGCTGCCCGGATTCCATTGCTACCTCCCTTTATACTATACGCGGGGAAGTCACTCGATCTTATCTTATAAAATAAAAAAGTATCCGCGCTGGCTGCCACCCCAAAAGAAGCGACGGACTGTACGAGATCAAACGCTTGGGGATCAACCGGAGCACCCTTTTAGCTTTTTTAGTAAGAGTGAAAAGGTGAAGAAGCACGAATAGAAGACGCAAGAGTAAAAAATTTCATTTCTACTAGCTACGAATGGAACTGATCCCATAGAGGCCTACCACAAGCCTGATGCATGAATGAGAGTGGATTGATAGTTTTCTAGTTGAGGAAATGCATGTGCAAACACTACTGGAGACCGGCTTTCAACAAAGTGTCTTTGGTCTATTGATTACCCATGGGATTACTCGAAACCGTCTCCTCCGTTTTTGGATTTCCCTTGCTTCGATACCCGCTTTACTTCTTTAAAAAGAAAAGTGAAGCATGTTTAAAAAGTTTCTTTTTTATATATTTTTTGAATCCACAGCGCAATCGGACAGATATTGATTTTGATGAACAGACAGAAGGAAGATATATAGATTTGCGGAAGAACTCTGCCGCCCGAGAAGCTTGAGCTTGAAAGCGGTATCGTACACACTTATCTTTATTCTCGTAAACAAAAACCGGGAGAAGGTCCATTGAAAGAAGGAATTCGCGCCTACCATAAACTCCCAGTCAGGAGAAGAAAGATCCCGAGAATTTCTACCCACTAGGGGACTTTCGCCCGAGGATACGGGAACATGAACAAAAGACCGTAGGAGTTGGGAGCAGCCCTCGCTTCGCTCATGCGTAACCGCGTGGTTAAGTACTCTATTCTATATTGCCTTACTAAACCTTACTAAACAAAAAATAAACAGCAGGATCTGCATCAACGGTAATTGGTCGCTATGTTGTGTCCCATCAGCTTGCTTCTGGCGAGATGAATAGCTTGTTTCTTCCATTCCGACCTTCGATACGAGGATTCATCCGAAATCGATTGGTTAACGCGAAAGCTGGAATTACTTCGGCCGTGGCACGATCATAAGAGCAAACCCTAAAGTCTATTTTCCACAAACGAATGCCATAAAAAAAGGAGATGAGCTTGCAAATCATTAAAGGAGATTAAGTAGGAAAGCCTCTCCTCACCTCTTCTTATCTCCTACTTCTTCTCTCTCTGTCTATCATTCACAAACTTCATCGTCTTTTTATTTTGATTTTTTGTTGAATCTGATAGAGCAACAAACCCTCATGTTTCAGCTTAGAAAAGAATTAGTAATTTTGGCCTTATAGAAGTTAATTGGTTGATGTTTGTGAGTTCATCAATTCAACTAATTAACAGTACAAAAAAGAAATATATACTCACCCTCTGTTGTCATTGGATTTAGATGTTTATATATTGAATGAGTTGCAATGTTCACTTCTCTTCTCTCTCTTTTTTTCCTGTGTTTGTTTACTTTTTTTTTTCCCCTAATTACCTCTTTGGAGAATTGGGTTTCCTAATTACCTTTTTTTTTCCTAACCACCAAAAACTCTTAACTGGGGATGGAGCCGGTGATGGGAAGCGGGGGTGGGGATGGTATTGTCATACCCAACCCCTATCCGGCCCGTTGCCACCCTATGTTAGAGGGGGCCTGTTGCAAAATATAAAACTGAAGGGAATGAGAGCATAAACACTGCAAAGTTCTCGTAGAGCTTCTTGTGTATATTTTTTATGAACCAATATCCCCTAAAGTAAAAATCAAGAAATAAGCATTTAAATTACAGATTTTACACATCAAGTTCTAATTGTTGTATATATAAAACCCTTGTATCCTCTTTCACTATTCAATTCAATTCATAAACAGAACATTAAATCATTTACAAAGAGAGAGAAAGAGAGAGAAAAGGAGAGTGAAATGGTGGGGAAGAAGAAAAAAGAAAGGGGGGGGGGGGGGGGGGGGGAGAGAGAGAGAGAGAGAGAGAGAGAGTTGAGAAAGGGCATGGGACCCCTCTGGTCCCTACGTGCCTCCGCCATTGGTTAGCTTTGGTCATCATCTCTAACCAGAATGGAGGATACCTAATTACTAAGCCAAGGTTTCCAAAATGTTCTCGATCTATTTTGTCAAGCATTTTGGTTCTCTGCTGGATAATTGTTGGGTGCCATGAATTTGAATTGCATAGAAATTTTCTGTTAGGACTCAAGATCCCACATTACAAAAATAGCATATCCTAGAGTAGTTTAAAAGCTCATGAGAATCCTTCCCTTATAAGTTGGTTTTCTAGGGCAAGTTCTACCCATGAGTTCTTAACAATTGATATTAGACTCTGGGCTAGAAGGTTTGGTGGTTAAAGGAAATTTGACAAATGTCAAAACCCAGTTGTTCCTTAATTTTAAGGAGTCAAGCCATGCTCGTGTTGGGCCAATTAATAATGGGCAGGAGATTGGTGTTGATTGATTAGTAGTTGGTAGATGACTAGTTTTCTCTTTGCGGAAATTTTCACATTTCTCACTTTTTCACGTACACTTGGTTTCTCAATTTTCTACAATGCATGAACGTAATGATTTCTATGAGTTCATATCATATACCGCTTCATGTTCTAACAGAAAGACTTGTTAGAAATCTGATGGTCCAACCAAGAAAGGCATGCATGAGATCTGAAACTCCTCTCCCTTTGCCCCATCACTTCTCCCTCATCTCCCTTTCCTCTCACCTCTCCACAACTCCATCTATCCGTGTCTCTCCTCCCATCAAATCTCAAACCCAAATGACCTCTATCCCAAAAATTTACTTGGTTTGCCACTAGATTGCTATAGCTGTTTTACTCCAACAACCCTTTCTCAGATCTAAGACTTGGATCTGCGCTTGTAGGCTCTGTTTATCTATGGTCATTTTTTACCACTACTTGATAGATCGCTTGAGTATGATGCTTGGTGGCTTGCTCCCCCAAATCCACACTCTTCATATCTCCTCTCTTGGTTCCCATGGACCTTGCTCTTCTTGTGGCAGCAGCAGCTTTTCTGGTGGTGGCGACAACTTGCTTTGTTTAGGGTTTGTGTATTTTGTGAGTTTTTGTTGTTTTGGGGGTCCTATTTTGGTATTTTAGATTGGGCTTTGTTTTGTTATGTTTGAGCCCATGTTTTTCTTTTTTCTATTTTGTTGTTATTGGGCTCCCTTGTATTTTGTATCTTTGTTTTGGAAATGAAGTTTCATTCCTTTCGTTCAAAAAAAAAAAAAAAAAAAAAAGTCTTTGAGGGAATAGAAAAGGAAGACTTTATAGTCCATGGTAATAAGTTATGTAATTTGAAATGGCGTATAAAATTCTATAGGAAGACTTGCCGGTAAAGAATATGCATATGGTCATAAAATGAAAAGCAGAAGAATTACTTTGGAGCATGGGGTGGGTGGGTGTTACGAAGAAGAGGGGAAGACTTATCAATCAATCAAGAAAGGCTAGAAGAGACTAAAATAAAGGAGAAACATTTGCGTGTCACAATGTGTCCCTCATGTAATTGGCATTCACTAAAGAATTATCACATTTAAGAATAAAATAATCAATGAGAAGCTTTAAGTCACACTCTACTATTCTTTCAAAAAATTATTGTTACCACCTATGAAGCATGGACACTAGGGTTTGGAACACAAGGTAATATACGTGGATATTTGGCATATGCTTAGGTACGTGCAATATGTGGGCGAAGGGGGTGTGCAAGGGAAATGGCTAGGTACGTGAGCGATACATACAAAATACAAGAGAGTGGTTAATTTTGCAACTTTTCTTGAACCACAAAACTCATAACTCCACTGCCCAAGTACACCCCAAGTTATTTGACCCAAAAAAAAAAATTAAAAAGAAATGAGATCCCAAGTTCAGTCCCACAATTTGAAAATTTAGGGTTTCACTTATGTTGTATTGACTCCAATGTCGATATCTCTTCCACGTCTTGCCAATTTCTCTTCCATGCTGCGCTACCACTGAATATTTTTTTTGTATCCTAATGCTCTCACTTTGGGGACTTCTCCCTTATATACAATATTGTTTCCCTTCCGACAGTTCTACTTACATATTATATGCACATCACATCACATGCACACCACTTACACATCACATGCACACAAACAAATAAGCAAATTCATATACACACTACAAAAATGCCTTATCTTCAGTGGAGTGAAAAGAGCAAGATTTGCAAGTCTTTTTATTTGGAAGCATGCAGGACGGGTTTAGAAGCATCTTGTATTTTAAGGACTTTTTGATCATTTCCTCATATTTATATCCGAAGGTCAAATTTGTAATATTAATCAATCCAGATCAAATGCTACCCAAAAACCATCACAAATTCTAAAAATACTCCTCCATTTGTTCATAAATCGACACCAAAATATTCCTCATATGTCTCCAAAGTTATTAATGGGCCTTAAATGTCCAAAGTTTTTAGTGGGCCTTTAACTCTCCAACCAAGAACCCTGAGACCAAGGCCGCCGAGGCCAACCCTGCCGATGAAGTCTTGCTTCTGAAGCGGGAAGAGAGAGAAGAAAAACAAAAAACAAAAAAATGGCACCAGCCAAGAAGGGGAAGGCCAAGGCCAAGGCCAACCCGGCCGAGTCAACTCAGCCCGTAAACCCCAACAACAATTTCCCAACCTCTATTCGGTACATACCTCCCTCCTCAGTCGTCATCACCATCCACGCCTGGTTCCAAAATCGCCTCCATCACTGGTCCTTCTCTTTCTCTCTCTATTTTTATATGTATAGGTCTGTGTATTTCTAGAATATAATTTTCTATTTTTTTGAAATGAAGATTTCAGTGATGAGGCGTTGGGGGTGCAAATAGACGCGCCTGCAAAGGACGGGGAAGCTAATGCAGCGCTACTTGACTACATCAGCTCGGTTGGTCCTGTTTCTTTTTGGGTTATCCCTTTTCAACCTTTTTTGTCTTTTTTTTTTTGTGTGTTTTTTGAGCTTTTTTATATGGAATGCCAAATTAAAGTTTGATTTGAGAATTCTTAGGTTCATTGGTGCATCATCCTATTATTGTTAGTGGGTTGGAGATTTGGAGTTGCATTTACTTGTTTCGGGTTTTTGTGATTATTGTGCTGTGTCTTAAGAAGATTGTGTGGTTCTTGAAAGATCCTAACATTTATTGTGATTGCTTATGTTAACTTCAATTGGGGAAGTGATGCTTTAATTTGTAATTTGTTGGTCTAATGCTGTTGCTCTAACCGAGCTTTGTTGGGGAAGTGATGTTTTGTTTGTATCTTTTTGGTTGAGATTGTCGTTGCTTTAACCAACCTTTGATTGTGAAGTGATTTGGTCTTGCAAAGGAGAGAAATATTGAGCCAAACTAGAGAAAAGTGTGGTGAAGTGGTGATCTGAAATGGTGAAACAAACTTACTCATGGGATGAGCTTGTGGAAAGGCACAAGGGGTGGATGTGAGCTCTTCTAAGGTTTCCTTATGTCTAATTTATTCATTTCAAGATGATGTGTGATGTGGCCAAGAATAGCCACAGTGCAGAGTGTGAAGGGTGGATTTCTTCTTTCTCCCCCAAGCATAAAATGTCTATTCCTGGACCATTTCATACCACCCTTCCATCCTATCTACACCGCAGTTAGCTAGTAAGAAAGAATAGCTTTGATAGATTATTTGGTCAAACACTGATTTGCATTTTGGGTAGATTATATACTATTATACTTCAGCTGGTTTTGTTTCTAGAGATATTTTTGTTATCATTTTTCAGTTACTCAAGACAGGTTTCTATTGGTTCCGGCTCCAAATCAAGAGACAAGGTTGTTATTGTGGAGGAGATGACTCTACAAAGTGTTTTTGACATCCTGGACAAAGCTTCGAAGTCCACCTAATAGAGAGAGATGAATTTGATCCTTGAATGAGACGTGAAGCTTGATTGTAATGTAGCAGCAACCGAGTCGTTTGTATTTATTGGAAATTGTCTTGTTGATGTTTCAGGTACTTCAAAACTGGCAGTTTGCCCTGTCTACACACAAATGACTACTTGTTTATAAATGCATCTTTTGATACACTTATACCACAACGAGTACATTACATTATATGAATAATGAGTTGTGTTAATACTATATTTCTTCCCCTTGTAACATATGTTGTATATTTTCCTTCATCTCTTAAACAAGCGTGAATGTAGTGCCTTTAGCCCCTTATTTCCATAATATTTGGAAACTTAAGGGGGCGTTTGGTATCCTATTCAAATAGGGAACTTAAAAATCTTGATTTTTCTTAAAAACAAGGAATTCTTAAATCTATTTTTAAGATTCAAAAACTTGTTTGGTATTCAACTTGAAAACTGTTTTCAAATCTTAAAAATTTGAGAACTTGTGGGTTGTTAGAAAAAAATTGAAAAAGTAGATATTTTTTGTTTTTAATAATTGGGGTGTTTTTAAGTTGTTCTTGAGTTCGAGTTTTTTAAAATAGGACTACTAAACAAGTTTTCTTTGTTTTGGACTCAAATTCTGTTTTTGAGTTTAAAAAATTAGATTCAAGTTGAATACCAAACAGGCCCTAAGTTTCCTCCTGAAATGATAAAATCTAGATTTTGCACTGCCATTCCTTCCAAACAAACTTAACAATCGGGCACGTTTGCGCGTCATTAGTCTATTCCGGGTCTTCCCTCTGTATTACAGATCCATAAAGTCTCTCCTAACTTTTCGTGATTGTACATTTTCTCAACAAGTAAGGCACTTAATTACGTTCTCCCACCTCAGTTTATATAAATTTAGTACATTGGATTTCTTCTTAGAGATATTTAGCCATATACCCATTCTTAGCACAAAAAATATAAATAAACCCTACACCATTTAATTTCTATAAACAAATCCAAAAAAAATTCAAAAAATAACATCTGGCTCTATTTAATTTAATTTTGATTGTTAAATTACTTTGATGTCTTATTGAGTGTTTTGGGGTTTTTATGAGCTTTTGAGATTGGGCTAGTTTTAAGAAATCAATGGCAATTTTGTAATTTATAAGAAGTTAAAAGCTTCTTTGTTATATTGTAAACGGGTTTTTGTTGTGTTTTTAAGGTCCATTTTATATATGATACTTTTATAATTTGGGCCCCTATACCCTTGTTCTTATTGGTCCTCTTTAGCTCCCTTCCATTTGGAAAAATATTTTTAGTGTCTGATGGAAAATTTGGTGACCTTAATTGTTCTATCTTTCTGAATGCTACCTGATGCAGTTGAAGTTATGATTATAAATCGTTAACTTTTATGTGATTTTTGGAAAAATAGTTGAACTGGTGCTGAAAAAGATAACATCCTTCTTGTCCAAAGAGTGTACGGAAACCACCTAGTCTCTAGATTGCTTTAAACTAAATGTTGAGTTATGTCTGTAATCCGGTCAGGCTGGTACTGATTTGTTATTCATAACAACTCGAGGAATGATTGAGTAGCAGGTTCCATTAGTGTGGGAGCAGATATTTTCATCTCCAATCGCAGCGCGCCACGTGGAAAAGAAGATTATCTCTTTTAATTAATTAATTTAACCAGTTTATCTGGCCAATTAATTAATTGGGATAAATATCTTAATTAAAGTGATATTATCTTTATTTAATAAGATAATATCATTAATTAAGACATCATCCTAATAAAGAGAAGATAATGTCATTATCTCAAATATTATCTCCATAAAAAGAGATAATATCATTTAACTAAGAAATTATCTCCATAAAAAGAGATAATATCATTAAATAAAATATTATCTCAGTCTGACTCGATCCCTACGAATTTGGGTAGAGAATAAACTTAGCATATTCTCTACGAAACCCTAGCCCCGAGGCTCCTATAAATAGATGACCTCATTCATCATTCGAGGTACATCTAAACCTACTCCTAATACCCGAGAAAAATACCCGAAGCTCTCTCTTTCTCCCTCTCCACTCTCCATATTTTCTCCACACGGCTCCGACCACCACACACGGCTCCAGCCACCCGGTTCACACCCTACATAAACACTACTCCGTACCCTTTGCTTAGCTATTATTTTCCTACAAACACTTGAACTAACTTAGGCATCGGAGGGCCTTTGGCCAACACCCCCCGGGTGTGGTCTATTTACTCCAATCTGTTTTACAGGAATCAAGGAAGAGAGAGAAGGAAGATCGAATGTTGAAGGATCTAGAAGCGAATATTCTCCCGTGAGATTATTTGCACAAACATTTGGTGCTTTCATTGAGAGCACGAGTTATACTCAACGCGTGCTCAAGGAATCCGTTCCTCATATTTTCCAATCCACCGAAGCCTTCCAAACAACCATGGTTGGAAGCAAACGCACGAGGAGCAAAACCGCCGCAATGGCTAAATCCGCGACGGCCCAAAGCCACTCCACCCACGATCCCGCGATCGACATGGTGGCACCACCACCTCTCACCACCGTGCCACCTACCGGACCCGTGACCGGATCTAGCAACCTCTGTGGCACCGCCACCGAGCATGGTGGAACCTCCCATCAAGGTGGGCTCGTTACCACTACCGACTTAGGCCTGGTCTTGGAAAAAACTTCAAGCATTCCCTCCATTGCCTCCACGCTCGACACACGCTCTCGCGTACACCTCCAATGAAACCCTAGCCCGTGTGCAATTGGGCTCCACACGCTTTTCTCCTCCTGATCCACAAAGTCAAGCAGATCTTAATCTGAGAGTTGACCAGCTAGCTCAGAGAATGGATGACCAAAGCGCTTTGATGAGGTAGCTCCTTAATCTAATAAGCGTGGCTCAAAATCTTGGCCTTGGACAACCAGGCGAAGAGAGAAGAATAGACGAACGCACTGGTGGGCAGCTCAACGGGCACCAAGCAGGTCGAGCAGGAGTGAGCAGACAAGGGGATGCACAACCAAGTGATCAGCTTGCCGACATGTCGCGAGCATCTACAAGCCACACACAAAGCAACGTGCGAGAAAGGCTCGGCCCACGACTTGACGTCCGTGCCCGCCTAGGCCCGCAGGGAAATGTACTTCAAAGGCTAGGCTCCTAGGGAGGTCAAACTGGCAATCGCCGCAATGAGGATCGTGAAGAGAGGCGCTCCGCTGCCCACTCGCAGAGAAATATTCACGAAAGGCTAGGCCCCCAAGGAGGTCGACCCGGTAACCCTCGCAATGAGGATCGTGAAGAGAGGCACTCCACTGCCCGCTCTCGGAGAACCAATGCTCGCCGTCAAGCTGCAAAAAATCCCTCGCAAACGCAATCCACCAACACGCCTCCTAGGCAACGCAGACGAGATGACCGACCCTCGCGGACCAACGAGGAGGTCAATCAGCGTCGCCCGAATCGCAAAAGTCGACAACGTGATCGACCAGCAATGTGTGCAGAAGACATTGAGAAGCTTGTGAATGACCGACTTCGAGACTTGAAGATTGGCGGGAACCTCGAGGATGCACTACGTAAGGAGATGGAACATGCGATCTCTACTCCTTTCACTCTCCCGAAGCGATTCTCAACGCCTTCGTTCACGCATTTCAAGGGAGATTCCGATCTTGAGAGCCACCTAAAACACTTCAAAAGTGTCATGATCCTCCACAAGGCCTACGACGCACTGATGTGCAAGGCGTTTGCAATGACCTTGCGAGGAGCAGCTCAGGACTGGTTCCACACCCTGCCATCCGAGTCGATCAACAGTTTCAAGGAGCTTGCCTATGTCTTCACTAAATAATACACTTCTTATCGGACGATCAAGAAGAACCCAGATCATCTGTTCAACCTACACAAGAAGCCCGACGAATCCATTCGAGATTACATCAAGAGGTTCAAAGCAGAAAAGGCCAACATCGTAGGGTGCGACGACCAAATCGCATCATCTGCCTTTAAGAAAGGTCTTCTAGCAGAACACGAGTTATACCGCGAGCTGACTATCACTTCTAGTCAGACTTTAGCAGAGGTCTTCGCGACCGCAGAACGCTACGCGTTCTGGGATGACGATCGAATTGCCGCGAAGAATCCCACTGAGCAAGAAGATCGGCCGACCAAGCGGGCGGGCCAAAGAAGCGATGGATTTAGCAACAAGAATAAGGACAAGCGTAGGTCACACCCACAAGAGGACGCTAAGGCAGGAGAGAACTACACCAAGTTCACCATCCCTATACATCAAATCCTAGCTCAAGTGAAAAACAAACATTGAGTAAGAAGACCGCCACCCTTGAAAGGAGATCCAGACAGGAGGGATACAAGCAAATACTGTGCCTTCCATGGGACGCATGGACACACTACGAACAACTCATTCGCTTGGAAAGCACACCTCGAAGAACTCGTGAGGGAAGGTCACTGCACGAAATTCATCGCTAAGCAGGCCATCCAGCAGATAGAGGACAGCGACATCGCCAAGGAGCCGCCCCAAAATGTCATAAGGATTAACACAATCCTAGTCGACTCCGAGGAATCTGGGCTGACCAGCAAGGAAAAAAAAAGGAAGATCAAACAAGCCACTATGATCTCCCAAGTCTCAACCGACCTTCCGCTAGCAGAAGACGATCCTGTAATCGGCTTCCAAAAGAAAGATCTAATTGGCCTTGATCTACCACACAATGACGCTCTTGTCATCAACATTCAAATCGCTCAGGCCATGGTCGACCGAATCCATGCAGACGAGGGCAGTGTAGCCAATATCCTACAATTGACAGTTATCCAACAGATGGGCTTAGAGGCAAAGATCAATAAATCAGCCAAGTCGCTGACTGGCTTCAATGGAGCAACAACGGTTACTGTAGGCACGATAGAGCTCGACGTCTACGCCCCACCTGTAATCAGCTCGCAAACGTTCATGGTCATTGATGAAGTCTCACCCTACAATGGCATTCTAGGCAGACCATGGATCAGCAAGATCAACGCCATCACCTC